TAGAGCTTTCTTTCGAACATCACTTGGACAGTTTACACTCTCTTATTGAGGGCCTACAAGAGTATACCACCTCATCTAAAAACTGAACCTGTCTCATCAGCTTCAAAAACCAGATTAAAACTCATCTGCTCTTACTCTAACTAACCAAAATGTAGAACACCTACATGCTTGTGTTTATTGTCTACACATTTTTCTTTTAGGAAAAGTACTTTGTACAAGCCCTTTCTGGGCTTTACAAAGTACATTGTAAATAACAGAGATACAGCTCTCTCTCTCTCTCTGGTGTTAGTATTGTCAGCAGTACTAGTGAGATATGTAAATGTAGTTCATTCTAGTTTAATTAAGGTTAAATAAAGATGGAGAACAAGGCCAGGCCTAATTAAGAGCCATCTGACTAATCACATCTGCATGTGTTTGATTAAGGATAAGACTATATCAGAAGAAATCTGATGATGAAGCAGAGAGAGAGAGATTTAGAGAGAGAAGGAATTTCAGGAAGGACTCAGTGAAGTAAAGTGTGTGTGTGTCTGACTGAGGTGTGTGCATCGGTTGGTGTGTGCGCGCATGGATGTAATTAAGGTTAACTAAGGCATTCATGCCAGCTATAAGCAATAATAGCTTTTCTCTTTGCCAATAAACATGCTGGCTCTGAAGGCTAGGCCTATATGCTGAAAGAATCCTTTGACGAAAATATGCCTTGTTAGGTGCTAAACTATGTGCTTGGTAAAGTAAATGGTCTTGTTTGTTTCTTTTCTTCTGAGATACACCCCACCCCTCTCTCCCAGCATCTTCTTCCAGGAGTCCTGGGGTCCTAAGCTACTCCACATTTTTGTTCTGTTGAAGCTTTTTCACTCAGACTCAGATGTGTTGGAACAAAACTATGGGATGGTTTTCAGGTCCCTGAAGGACTAAATCAGAGACGTGTGTGTGTGTCTTTCTTTGTCATCCATGAATCAGTGTGAGAGGGCTTGGATAAGTACTCATTCCTTTATTCTGATGGGCTACTGATGTGTAGTTGGTAAACTCACACAGACACACTTTCTGGTCTTTTTATAGCCAGTATGAAGGCTAAAAGAAAGCGGTCTCTCTCATAGCCAGTGTCAATGTTAAATGTAGGTGAGCGTTCTTATAGACAATGTAAATGTTAAATGAAACCTGTCTTTCTTAGATCCAGTATGAGTGCTGTTTGTTCTCTGTTCTTTCTTGTAGCTGGTATAAGTACTGATTATGAATAGGTAACGAGTCTGCTCTCTCTTAAAGCTGGTGTGAATGCTGAATTTATTTTGGTCTCTTTCATAGCTTTTATGAATACTGAATATTAATGCAATATGAGGCTGGTCTCTATTATAGCCAGCATGAATGCTGAATGAAGCTGGTCTCTTTTATACCTAGTGATTGCTAATTCTGGTCTTTCTTGTAGCTGTTATGAATGCTGAATGAAGATGCTCTTATCTGTTATAGCCAGTGTGAATATGGTTATGAATAGTGAATGAGTCTGGTCATTCTTATAACCATTATGAATGCTGAATGAAAATGTTCTCTCTTAAAGCTGTTACAAATACGAATGAAAAGCAAATGAAGCTGATCTCTTTTATAGCTGGTATGAATGCTGAATGAAACTGGTCTCTCTTGTAGTCAGTATGAGAGCTGAACAAAGCTGGCCTATCTTATGGCAAATGATACTGAACATAGATAGTGAATGAAGCTGATCTCTCATACAGCTGGTATGAATACTGGGCAGGAATAGTGAATCAATCTGGTCTCTCATATAGCTGGTATGGTCTCTCATATAGCCAGTATGAATACTGGGCATGCATAGTGACTGAGTCAGGTCTCTCTTATAGCCGGTATGAATGCTGAACGAAGTCGGCTCTCTGCAGCTGCTCCATCTCTCCTCCCTTTTCTGCTGTTTTAGAGTAATGAGAGCTGTGCAGAGTTGGGCTCAGGCAGTGCATTAACACTGCTCTTACAGGGACAGCCAGAGCAGGATTCAATTAGATCTGTGTCCTGGCACCCATTCTGCTGGAATAAATGGGACATAGAGAGATAGCGTGAGTAGGAAATATGGAAGGTGGGAGGGAGTAAGAAGAAGAGAGCGATGGTAAAGAGAATGGAGTGAGAGAGGGAGGGGTGTAATGCTGGAGGATGAATTGTAATGCCCCTGAGTGTGGGGCTGTAGATTTAGGGTGGCTGTGTGACTGTATACACACTCAGTCACACAGGCCCAGCATCACACACATGCATACACACACAGACACACACACAGAGTACAGCAATGTCATGCTGCAGGTGAGAATGTGTTCTCAGGGACGCTGGCCATGAATTGCCCAGCTGGCACAGAGCCATCTACCACCTCCTTTATAGTGTGGTGTAGTGTATAGTGATAGTGTGTGTATGTGTGGCTAGGTCAGGTGACAGTCTTTTTCAGGCTGCTAAACTTCAGCTTTCACACACCCTTCATCTATTTCTTTCTCTCTCGCTCTGTCTTACACACACACACACACACACACACACACAGTTTTCTCCTAAACTGGGTTATGTGGATGTATTCACCTGTGTGTTGGGCCTTGTAAAGCTGCCAGTGTTGCTCCACATTACACTGCTGATGAATATAGCTCGTCCATTACCTATGGCAATGTAGGCCGGTTCTTTGGTTATGATCCAGCATCATCTGAGTCTGAAGGTGAAATCTGTAAAACCATTACGTATTAAATACTACAGTTGTAAGGCACAGAAAACTGATAACACTGAAGCATGACAATTGATGGTAAACTCAATATTTCCCTACTTAATTATAGTTTAGTCCTGTACAGTTCTTTGCAAAAAGTCAGAGACCATGCTTCATTCATTGAATTTCCAGTCAAAATGGTCAAGATTTTTTAGCATCAGGAAAGATCAAAAAACATGTATTTAATATTAAAGTTACACAGAAGCCTCAAAAAATTAAATATAATGTCACCTTTTTCAGCATTTAGTATGTCCACCAATTACTTTACTTTGGCATCAAAATTATATCAAAATATCTTCTGATTCTTCTGTGACAAAAAAGAAAGCCTTTAAATGAGCAGAATGAATTGTTCCAAATAATTATGCCACCTATCTGACATCAAGATCCCTTCCTGTTCTTTTGTACTGTATGCTCAGAGCAGCATTTTTATGAAACAGTTTAACTCTGTATAACACTTTGTAAAAATGAAAAGCCGTCCAGTCAGATTTGAAAAGATGCTAAGATACTAAAAACTGAGTTGATGGGCCTAATTAGCAGTATTGTTAAGATTATTAGCAGACCTGCAAACATTATGGGCTAGCTAGGTACAAATGTATGCTTTTAAGTACGTTTAGCAACAGTCAGTTGGCAAAACATTGCTAAACATCACAGTTATGAAATCTAATCTATGCATAGTGATCTAGTTGCCTTTGCTGCAGTCTCATGGCCATGAAATTTAAATCTCACGAGTTTTCACGTTCTCAAAATAAAATTTGTTTTACAAAATTGTGATGCGCTACACAACAATGCCACAGTAAAAGTATTTGGATTATGTCACCCAGCATTAATGAGCAAAACATCCACCTCACATTAAACACTACAGTACTAATTTCACACACTGACATTTAACAACTAAATCACCAGTATCAAAATGGTATACTTTTGCAGTAGAAAAATGTCCCCTCAATGCAGTCTTAAGTTTGATACATCATGAAGTCAAATCAAATAGTGTGCATTGAATTGCCATGTGAAGAGTTGGCATGCTGTAAAAGTCACTGCGTTGCAGAACTCGTGGTTGTTTCACATTTCAAAATGCTTTAATGCAAGCTGCACACTCGAACAACGCAATGCTGCATTCAGGTCAAATTACTATACACACGGATTTCGGATCATTTGAGATTATTATTGAGTTCAATGGTACAGATATCTGTATCAGCTGATAAATGATAATAAGTTTTTGGCCTTTGGAAACACACAAAAATGGATATGGAGTGAAGTAATAAAGCATGCAGGATACAATGAAGTAGCATAGTGGCATCTAGTAGCCACAGCCAGGGCCATCACACACCATGAATCAACATAGAACAAGAGAGAAAGAGCAAAGAGAGAGAAGAGAAAAACAGAAGCGGAAATGGAAATGAGAAAATGGAGTGACCCATGTAGGGGTCAGAGCTAGGTCAGTAGTTTTAATGTGGAGAGAGAGAAGGACCAGTGCTTTTAAACCAGGCACTGATACTGATACAGCCATTCTCTCTCTCTCGTACTGAGTCTGCAATTACACTCTCAGTGGTCATTACAATCACAGAACCTGAAATTATACTCTCAGTGGTCATTACAATCACAGAATCTGAAATTATACTCTCATATACCATCACCAAATGTGACATTATACTCTATGTGATAAGTACTATGACAGAATCTGAAATGATCCAGTGAATACTGTCAGTACATTTGAAATGATGCTCTGAGTGGTTATTACAGTCCCTGAATCTGAAATTATACTCTGAGTGGTCATTATTATTATTAAATCTAAAATCATACTCTGATTGGTCATTTCTGTCTCTGAATTTGAAATTAAACTCTGAGTTGTCATCACCGACACTGAATTTGAAATTATCCTCATATCACCGCTGGCACTGAATTTGAAATTATACTCTGAGTGTTCATTCCCATTACTAAATCTTAAATTATATTCTGAGTGGTCATTACTTTCACTGAATCTGAAATTATACTCTGAGTGTTCAGTAGTATCACCAAATCTAAAATGATCCTCCAGTTATTACTGTCACTGTATTCTGAGTGGTCATTAACGTCACTGAGCCTCTGAGTGATAATCACAGTTTCAGATTCTGTTATGGTAATGACCAAGGGTTGCCCTGTGAAATTTCTGGACACTCGATCAGTGGTTGATGTTAAATTTTATCTATGTGTAATTGCGATAGTTAACTTTGGCTATTAATCATTTGCCTTCATCTTCTTCTTTCTCTCTTTCTTTCTCTTTCCTTCTCTGTAGGATGATAATTCCATGTTTTTCCAGTTTGGGCCATCCATCGAGCAGCAGGCCTCTGTGATGCTGAATATTATGGAGGAATATGATTGGTATATCTTCTCCATCGTTACCACATACTATCCTGGCTACCAGGACTTTGTCACTAAGGTAATAAACTCACATATAAATAAACATTTAGGTCAGATGACACTTTGCTTTAAAATGTCTCTTCCAACTCACATGCAAAATTTAAAACTTCATTCATTTACATACAATTCATGAAATGTTTTCAATTTAAAGGGACAGTTTGGTAAAAAAAATCTGATTTTCTCCTTAGTATAAAGGAAGTCAAGCCAAGACATTTTTGGTATCAGATGTTTGCTTCATTGATTTTGAGTCTAATGTAATGTTATAAGCAATGGAAGCTTATACCTCACCAACTAACAATGTGGGAACTGTTATGTAATGTCAGATAAATAATGGACAAAATTCAGGCTTCAAGATATCTGCTGCTTTTTATATATGCCATGTGCTTTTGTTCCTGTGTACATTCACTAAACTATCACTTTCAGCCTCTTCTTTTACATTACGCCAAATGACACTTGTTTCTGTTTAGTTCCTTAACATAGCAGTGCAATCCTAAACCAGAACAGAGCATTATTATTAGCTGCTATTAATTCTCTCTGTACTCAGTGGGGATTCTGGGGACATGTCCTCAGCTTTTTTAAATACCCCGTTTTGTTCTCACCACTTTTTTGAAGTGTTCCATTTTGTCCCCTCAAATTGTTGGATGTGTAAAATGACACTAGGATCAAGCAGTTGTCATTCCTCACCACTAAGCTAATGCCTCCGTAATAGTTCAGGTAGGTTAGCCCATCAGTCTAAGATGCAGTTAAAATATATTCCCTTAATAGGGCTTTATACTAATGCACATTAAGGTGAGTTCAGTTGGTTGAGTTGGCGATTAATGCTCTTTAATGCTGCAGCCTGTGCATACAATCACTCTCAATTTAATATTCAACAAAAACTCAAAGAATTATCGTGAAGCAGATCCACTGGCCATTTAATATTTAATTGGCCAGGAAAATAATTGAGCTCTTTATGTTATTATTTTTAGAAGTAAGAACTTACATATATTATTATTATTATTATTATTATTGTTGTTGTTGTTGTTATTATTTATAATACCAGACTTAATAATGTACCTTGATTAAGTGAATTTAATAATTAACATTTGATTATGTTAATTTATCGTTGCCTATTATAATTACATTTAATTTAATAATATTACTGTTATTTGTCCAGGATAGCTAACACTAGCTAGCTGTACTTGCACTGTTACATACTGAGACAAGTTCACATTGACGGTAATAACTTTTTTTAGTGTTGTAGGCAGAGACATATGAAATATGAATATGTGGGACATTAGCTGGTCTATCTTTGCTTAGTAATAGCCAATTTAGATAACCTTCTTTAGCATGTTAGCATTAGCATTTACTTGTGTCCGGTGCTGTAACAGTAAATAAGGCAGCATGTAGCTCAAGAGTGTCAAACTGGGTCGTTCCAGGCCACAGTTCTGTAGAGTTTAGTATTCCTTCTCATTAAACATGGTTGATTCAACTCATCAGCTAATTAGCAAGGTCTTTAAGAGTTCTCTGAGTGTTTCAATAGGGAAAACGCTAATCTCTGCAGAGTTGTGGGCCAGTGGAATATAAATAGATCTGCTGGTGTACCTAATTAAATGACCAATGGGCATAGGTACCAAGATAGGTGTACCCTATAAACCGGCACGTCAGTGCCACAGTAAAGTCTGTCTACAGACTGCAGACGTAGTTTTAGTGTAGTATCATGTTATTGCATATCTTTTCACTTGGTAATGACAAAACTTGTGCCTTAACATACCACGGACATGACTGAGAAGTCTTGAGTACTGTGGTTAGGCTAAATGTGAGCTGAAGTAAGAAAAGATACTCCTCTTTTGTTAGTGTTACCTCGACAAGACGTTTCCACATCATCCACTGAGCAAAAAATGACCTTGTGTAGAAGACGACAACTGTATCTAATGTTAAGTATGCTCTATAATTAGCACTTGTACTGATTTTAACCCACAGTGACTAATAGACTTCCCTTCTCTTTTAAATGACCAAAGCATTTTTTTAAATAATAATTATGTTTAATTGGCTCCACTGCCTGCTACAAAATTTTCCCTGATAGTCTATTATTTAGACAGTAAAGCTAAATGCAACACAGGTGTGGCTTAACATTTTATGTGAGATTAGTTGTATGTTCACCCCATGGGAATTTAATTGTGATGCGTCATATTTTACAGCGTCAGCTATTTTCATTACACTGAAAGGAACCCAGTTTGACAGCCCTGGTGAAGCCGCAGTCTCTTTTCCATGTAGCGTGCTGCTCTTTCTTCTGGCTGGGATAGACGAAGATTCCAGATCAGAGCATGCCACTGTTTCTAGCTTTTAATGTTTTACTATATAGTCAGTGCTGCTGCTATTTGCACCCATGGTTAATGTTTCAAAGAAGGTACTCAATGATGTAAAGTAACATAATTTAAGAGACACATGCCACAAAGCGGCAGGACGTATGGGTTTAATACATGGCAATGAGTTAATTTGGGAACTACATGGCACATTTAGCAAGCAGTTCATGTTATTGAATATTATTTCTGCAAAGGATCTACTTTGAATTCTTATTCCATCCAATGAATTGAAATTCAACAATAATAATGCAATTAAAACAATTGCTTATAATATTTACTTCATGCTGTTCATCCTCTCTACGACAAGCATCCATATCTAACACTCATCAGTAATGAAAAACAGTCGCTGCATCTTCTTTAATCATACAGAAAAAAACACTAAATGGCTCTGTGTACCTGAAGCAACTTGACACTGATGCAGTGGATACAGCCTCTTCGATGTGGGGTCAGCTAGCTTCTTACTTACAGGACACTAACAAACATTATTTCATTTCCAGTCAAAACGACCATTAAGCACAAGTTATTAATTTTTCTCAGGAGACATTTCTGAGGAGATTAAATAAGACAGACAAGCAAATCTACTTGCATAAGAGAAAAGTTGAAGGAAAACATAGTTCAAGGAATTATTGAAAGGTATGGAGAAAATGAGACTCCTAACAACTGTGCAAGACCTGGTAGACCACCATATAAAGCAGGTCTTAAAGCTTTCATCTTTCAGATAGAGAAGAAAATTAAGTTCCACTCTTGCTTCATATCTGAATAAATCCACAAGTGTTTCTGTCCATTCTTCCACAGTGAGAAGACAACTCAACACTGTGGGTGTGTGGGTGTACTTGGATCGTGAGAAGCAGAAAAAGCAAGTCTTCTGAAAAGAATGGAAGCTTTAATAAAGACAAAGGCTGAACACACTAAATACTGAAATGCTATATTTAGTTGTTGAGGATTCTGTGTAATTTTCTATTAAATATGTTTTCCTTTTTTTCCTGATACTGAAAAATTAGTTACTTGTATGCAAAGGCAATTTTCACTGGAAATAAAAAATAAAAAGTAGGAGGAAGGGTGGTCTCAGAGTTTTGCACAGTACTTTATATCCAACAGGATTCTCATAAATTTTTCCCCTCCGTCCTTGTCCCCAGCAGTTTTCTAAATATGAGTTTCATTAATGTGCTGCTGAACACTGCTGCTGGCTGGTGTCTTACAAATTGCACTCATATTCTGCAGCAGCTTAGCAGCAGTATCACAGTTTATTTTGCTTGGGTTATGCAGTTGTTCCTCATATTCTTTCCTGTTCTTTCTGCAGATCCGCAGCACTATAGAAAACAGTTTTGTAGGCTGGGAGCTGGAGGAGGTGCTGCTGCTAGACATGTCAGTGGATGATGGAGACTCGAAGATCCAGAACCAGCTGAAGAAGCTGCAAAGCCCGGTCATCCTGCTCTACTCCACCAAAGAGGAGGCCAACATTATCTTTGAGGTGGCACACTCCGTGGGCCTCACAGGATACGGATACACCTGGATTGTACCTTCTCTGGTGGCGGGGGATGCTGACCACATTCCTCCAGAGTTCCCCACAGGTGATAAAGCAGAGATACCACTCTCATAATAATGTCAGATTAACCAGGTGTAATTTCTGTTCAGGCTGCTTTATACACAAAATGTTTTTTTTCTCAAAATGTTTGTATAATTACCAGTGTTTCACATCATCATGAATATCAGACCACAAGCATTACTGTCATTCAGATTTGCTCTGAAAGTTTTAACAGATTTACAAGTGTTCTGTGCTGCCAGTGCAGCAGGTTTATCTGCTAACTGTTCTAAAGTGTTGCCTAAGAAGGATGAGACAACTGTATAAGCCACATATTAACTGTATAAGTAAGGTTTTCTTAGATGCCTTATGCCTTATGCTGCTGTCTGAATGGGATTAGTGATTATCTCAGAAACATGCCTACATTGCCTAGAAATGTCTCAAACGCTGTAGTTCTTTAGAGTGGATTTCTCTGCTGTTTCTGAGGCAAGTAAGAGTTTTAAAAGCTTCAGGAAGAATGATTGAATGAACCACAGAGCAGCTGTAGGGGGGGCTGTGTGCAATAAACCTTAGAGTCAAGACTCAAAAGGGGATACTAAGAGCATGAGAGAAAAACCACTGAGAGGAACCAAGGCTGTAAAGGAAAAACTCCCTAAGAGCCTGAGGAAGAACTACTGAGAGGAACCGAGACTCAAAAGAAGAAACTCCTGAAAAGCATGAGGATTAACCACTGGTACCAAGAGTCAAAAGCCCACCCTCCAGGTAGGATACAAGTGAGACAAATTTAGATGGGAGACTTAAAGAGGCACTAGGATCATACAGAGGAAATGCCAGTGATGATAGAAAAGTCTGTCATCCAAAATCTGGAGAATCTATTTATTTTGTGGGACACACAGAGGATGGTAGATATGAGTGTGGCTCATAAATTTTTGTCGGGATGTAAAGATTTCCATATCTGTTTGCCTCATCCATTGCTGTCACAAAGTAGTTTGAATTTATTGACAAAGCTAAAGATAACATTTTGTCCCACTTTCTGTCATAATGTTGCTATAGATGACAAATATGACAGGGAAAATGTTGGCACATCTCATGATGTCTGAGTGCACTGACTGTGTTAGAGTGAAAGCTGAAATTGAACGTGGTCTGTGATGTGTGTAGCTCTCTCGCCATCACTGAGCTACTATCATGCTTAGTTTTATGGAGGTATTTCCTGGCTCAGATTTTCCCAGACCTCCTGCTTTTGCCTTCCAACACGTGCTACCGGAATTGAGCTGCATAGACATGAGAGGATCATTTAAGAGAAGCTCTCCATTCACTTCCATTCATTTCAGGGTGCCTTCAGCCGAATAATAAAGGCGCATCTGAGCTGTTTGTCCTCTTCTAGAGAGACTGGACTGTGTGTCATTTGATCCACAGGCCTGACAATCACTTTATAGCTTCAGAATTAACATTGTTCTGTAACAGTACAGAAAATGATGTAATAAAGCTGCTACTTAAAAGCTCCTCAGTAATATAAAGCATGGAGTAGGTTCACTGTGTAATAATAATAATAATAATAATAAAGGGGATTGTTGTTGTTGTTATTATTATTATTATTATTATTATTATTATTGTTATTGTTATTGTTATTATTACACAGTGAACCTACTTCATGGTTTATATTACTGAGGAGCTTCTACTGCAAATATTACAGGGCAGTCTTTTCGCAGCTTTATTACATAATGTTCTGTACTGTCACAGAACAACGTTAATTTTTAAACTATAAAGTGATTATTATTATTTGTAATCATTATTATAATACTAACATGTTCAGATGTCTACACTGTGTCCTCTTGTTCTGTTCTGTTGTACAATATATTCAACACAAAAAATGTTTGTGATGATTTACGTTCCCTTCAACTTGTTTACAATATATTGTTGGGCAGCTTCCTCACGCTGAAGATTTGCATGATTAATGCGCTTGCACAGTCTCTCATGTTGCTGCTACCCACCACATGAGTAAACAATCAGGAAGTGACCCAATTGACCTCACCTGGTCCTATTTGAAAACAGCAGGATGACTGGGTCCAATTTATATTGTAGTATGAGGGGTTCTCAGAAGAAGCATAGACAACGTAAAGTTTGTGCCCATAACACAGCTTTATTCAATCTTGACTCAGCAAACAGAGTACAAGGAGGGAAATTGCTCTCCACCTCAACTCATGTGTCTTCCTCTCCCTTTTCCCTCATTCAGCTTACACACACATACACAGAGCCCCTCCTCCATAATAAGAGTCCTTAGCAAAATGAACCAAATGAACAATTAACCTAAAAACAACACGCTTTCTATCAGTGTTACCTATCAGTGAGCCCCTCTGAAATATAAATGGGAGGAATGTTTTTATTTAGGTGTTCAGACGTCATATCATAATTTTGAAATACCACACTGGCATCATTTTAAAATCCTAATAGGTATACCCTGTTATAGTTAACACTAGTAGAAACCCATTGATTTTGAACTCGTCTAGGCATGCCCTCTTGCTTTGGACAAACCCAGAGGACATTACTGAGTGGCATTTCTCTTTACTGGAAATTCTCTGGTTCAACCTCAGTACCTATGAAAGAATGCATTTGTGGGTGGAGCCTGGATAGGACAGTTAAACTCCGGTATGCCTGGAATTGCCCAGATTTGCATACTCTCTATCTCTCTTACACTCTCTTTCTCAAATCAGTTTACCTCAATTCAGCATAGCTTTGTCAGCATGACTGTCTCAAGTACCATGTTGCCAAATCATTGAAGTTTAAAGATGAACATACTCAGCTCATATTATAGCAATTGTTAATGGCAGTAATAATGCTAACAATGATAAGAACAACAACTCTCTCTCTCTCTCTCTCTCTCTCTCTCTCTCTCTCTCTCTCTTTCTCTCTCTCTCTCTCTCTCTCTCTCTCTCAGGTATGATCAGTGTGTCTTATGATGAGTGGGATTATGGTCTGGAGGCACGGGTGCGTGATGGCATTGCCGTAATCGCCATGGCGACCTCCACCATGATGATGGACCGTGGTCCGCACACACTGCTGAAGTCAGAGTGTCATGGAGCTCCTGAAAAGAAAAGCCCAGTATTGGGCAACCCTAATGAAGTCCTGCGGTAAGCAAACACATACACACTCATCTTCTAGTGCTGCACAACATGTTGTTTGTTAATCATTTAGGTGAAATTTGGCCTCTGCCATATTGATACCACAAAGGCTGCAATACACAAATTAACCTGTAACCAACAGTGTTTTGGCAGTTACTCCAAAAAAGTAAAAAGTAAAAAGTACAAATTACTCATTACTTCTCTCAAACTGTAATGATATCACTTCACTTATTACTTTAGTAATTGCCAGTTATGCTAAGCATGAATGGCTGCGCTGTTGGAAAACCCAAAAAATAGTCAAGAGAAAAAGTTTTAAAAAGGCTTCTCTAAAGTAAATTCTTTAAGAGTAAAATATGTATCTTACAGAGCTTTGGTCTGTTTAGGTGAGGTTGGGGGTCTCTCTTCTTCAGCAAGAGGATCTTTTTCCATCAGTTTCATGTTAGCATGATTAGATACTGTGGTAGATGGCTTGTCGAGTTTACAGAGGTGGAAAGTTTTTTTCCCCCACGCTTGTGCTGCACTGCTCACATTCACAATCAAAGTCATGCAGTCAAACTGCACACAGAGAGAGGTACTGATAATCTGTGCAAAGGAAATATAGATGTTGCGAGAAATGTGTAACACATTAATGAACTTCTTAAGTCAGTAACTGTGTTGTGATAAGAATTTAAACTTTAATGGCGTACACTACTTTATTACAGGAAAAACATAATTACATTACTGTAATATGATATTTTTATATCATGCTCAACACTGGTAATCAAGCACAGAACCTAAAATGTGCTGTGGGAGTTCCATTGCTGTGACCTCCAGATGAGCTACTGTGAGGACTTCGACGAATGAAGACATTCATATGATCCAACATAAAGTAAATAATATTTGGAAACATCAGACTACAATCCATACAGTAAATAGAGAATTTTCCACCGAATGTAGACTAAAACAGAAATGCAAGTGAAATCAAACTAGATCAGTAACTAGTAAAAATCCTGATAACATGGCAACACCTGCACAAAACCTCCAGGTTCTTTGAAGTGCAGCTTAGACCAATTTGCTAGTATAGTGCCAAAGGTAAGCATTACCTCATTATTATAATACTCAGTGTCTTGCTAACTACAACTAAGCCATATTACCACCACAAGTAATGTTAGCATTAGGAACTATACCAGGAAATCTACTTTCAAAATTACTTAATAAACATTAGAAGTATAACTAAAAGCAAAAGTTTATTCTGCTCTCTGCCCACTCTCTTTTGTGTTCTCTCTTTCTGTTTTATGCTGTGAACACTTCAAGCTAATACCGCTGTGAGTGAACAAAGTATGCACAACACAAGTCTGTCAGTGTCTCACATTAGACCACTGATTGTGGTTATCAGTATCATAAAAAATAACTCCAGAAAGCATTTTAAAAGTGTATGTTAATGGTAGCAGCTACCTAGATTATGTGACATTTAGTCACCGTTATCTTAGTTTAGTTATCATATACTATATTACTGAAGGTTGCATACAGCAACAATCATAGTAATATTCTACATTACAGGAGTGAGTAGCTTAAGTCATTAGTCAAAACAGTAGTTATTTAACTTGTCTGCCACAAAGACGTTTCCTTTCTCAGACCAGCAGGTAGAGAAATAAGCCCAATGGCCCCTTCTGACATGTGGGCCAGTTTCCCAGACATGAATTAAGCCTAGTTCTGGACTACACAGCATTTTGAATAGAGATTTTCCATTTAAAGGAAAATATAGTCTATGACTAGGCTTAATCCCTGTCAATTCACATTGTGTTTGTTGTAGTATAATATGTCTGTGAAATCTAATGACTGTGCAAAATGATTGCAGTCAGCTTAAATAATTGCGATTATGTAATTATTGTGACAGGGTAGTTACATGCTATGTAAACTACTGACCAACAAACCGCTTCAAGTTGTTTTGCTGTTTTTCATTTAAACACCTCATTTACTGCATGTTGCGTTTCAGTTCTGTCCTTCAGCCTGAATGAAAGGCTCATTATTTGAAGCTGCGTTGAACCTGACAGGTTTTAGTATGGGTTTACTTTTGTACAACTCAGTGCCTGCAGCTAATAACAAAGCTAAACTGTACTTTACTAACTTTACTGTCTCTACTAACGACTCAACACTTCACTTGGGTTCGCACAGCACACACTCAGACTTGACTTGGACCCCAGAGGCTCAACTTGGACACACATATATTGACTTATGAACATCTCTGCCTGAAGTTCAAGCGTAATCTTTGTTGGTGCAACCCACTGCAAATATACAAAAAAATGGTTTAAGAAAGGCAGTAGTGAGTTATTTGGCACTGTATTTACTTTAATAATGTAGACCAAACATCTAGTGTATGACACATAGGAAGAACAATATCAACCATTGTTTTGTGTTATTCCAAACACTTACCGACTGAAAAAAAATGTTTCTCTTCAGAACAAACCAAGTATATTGCTTGTGAATTCTGATTAAAATAAAGCAGAACACATTAAGGGTTCCCATGTTTCATTTATTAATACACAGCAAGTTATATTGCTATTACAGTATGCAGCAATATAGTCTAGACAACACACACACACACACCTCTCTTTGTCTTGAGAGAGCAAAAAGAAATAAATGGCAGTTTTTTGCGTCATCCCCCCCACTCTCTCCCATTAGAGGAGCTTATTATAGGTGTGTGCCCTCATTCCTCATCCAGTGAACACGCGCATATTCTCACATGGGCATGCACAGGTGCGTGCACACACGTGTACACACACAGTCAGATATTACAGTGTTAATGTGTGTTTGTAATGTGTTTAGGAGGCTTAGTCTGTAGTGCTAATTTATATTCCACAGCCCTTCTCTGTAATTTAGCATCTGAGCACACTGTGAATAATTGTGTGCATGAGTGTGTGTTTGGATGCCAAAATATCCTGTGTTTTTAGTGCACTGAGCGAAAGGACAATCAGTCTCAATTTATTCAGAGGTTTATATCAGAGGGAGAGAGAGAGAGAGAGAGGGGAGAAAGAGGGGTCTGTGAGAGAAGAGCATGTGTGTGTGTGTATGTGTGTGTGTGGCGGGGGTACAGGCGACTATTCCTCGTCATCTTTCTGTCTTTGCCTTTCTCACTGTCACTATCTCTTTGTGAAATTGTGGTTCCCATAGCAACACAGCAGATTGGCTTGGGAATTGCAGTGATTGTGGGCGCCATGGCAACACATTACATATGTACATATGCCTGTAGGACTCTAATTGCATGCCTGCTGTCACACACACACACACACACACACACACACACACACACACACACACACACACAAGTGTGTATTAGTGTGTGTGTGTGTGTGTATTAGTATGTGTGTAGGTGTGCGTTTTAGTGTGTGTGTATTTGTGGGCGTGTTTGGATTTGTGTATGTATGGATGTAAGTGCTCGTGCCAAGCTGCTTGTTAAAGCTGCACTATGTAAGATTTCTTTGTTAAAATTGAAAGAAGTTTCATTACTCAGGAAGAAAATATGGTGTCCATGTGCTGCTTTGAGTCACCCTGTAAAGCCTGAAATAATAGTAGTTTATAATAATAATAGTTTAGAAGTCAAAGTTGTGGGGTCGGATTTTGCAGACGTTTTTCGGACCATGTCATATATTTTTACATTACACCGATAGACTCAAAAAGAGGGTCCAGCTTGTTTGCAAAATCAACATTATACTGATGAAGATATGATGACAACAGTAGATAATTCACTTACATTCTTGGAAGACACGTCCTTCACCAAGTTTTGACTAAGTTCTCTTTGAAACTCTCAACACGCTCACAAAAGTAGAAGGGGTCTGACATTACAAAATATTTGTCAACATTTTGTGTGCAGTACACATGTTCACCAGAGAGGTCTCCAAATCTTACATAGTCTTGCATAGTAAATCTTACTTTAAACAAAAACGAGTTTGTAAGGTTAAGTTCAATACTCTTTCGTGCTTTTTACTTCATACACACAGTTTTGCTGCACACATTCGTATACTTGTGAGATCCACTTGTGTGGATTTTTTTTTTTCCATGCCTTAGCTTTGTTCATTGTAATTGTTTAGATCTGCCCAGAGGATGGACTGTATCATCTGATTGGTGCTTAGCAGTGTAATGGGAGCTTACATAAGCAGAGCTGATCTGAGTAACTAAAAAATCTCTGGTAAAACTGCCACTTGACTAATGGTATATGTGTGTTTACAGTAATGTTACTGTGCATGTTTAATATCCCGGTGTACCGATTTTTCGAATACCAATACATAGCCACACACCCCTAAGCCAGTTCTGACTTAACCTCAGCAACCGATCAGCTTTGAACAGCTTTTTGACTTTTTTTGTACTTTGCTGCTTTTTTGACACTTTCTCTCATGAGGAGCAGCCAAACATCCCCAAAATCACAAAATGTTATCTTCATCCTGGAGACATTTTTTGTGGGCACATAGTCCAAACACATGCATTCATCGGATATCGGACTGGTATCTGTATCCTGCCAATGCTCAAGGTTTCAGTATCGTATCAATATCGGACAAGAAAAGTGTAATCATGCCATCTCTAATTCATGCGATTAACCCCTTAGACTCCATTTGGATGTGGGTCCACAGTTCAGATCTGTATTCCCTTAACTACACAACTTGCATAATTGTCTTATAGTAGCTACTGAATTATAAATCTTACAATTAATAACTCGATAAGCTTGCAGTTTAAGAGGTTAGACACTCACACATACAAAACACTGCACAAAACATACAGTCCCTGTGCCATGAAGGTCCCTCTATGAGCTATTTTTTATTTTTTTTTATGTGTGTGTGTTTGAGTGCACATGTAATGTTAAAGGTTGCTATGGAAACAGTGTCACAAATGAAGAAGTGAGGAGGGAACAGAGATCAATTTACTATATTCATACACACACACACACACACACACACACACACGTACATTCATACACTCAGCTACAGCTGTATTGGTTAGTCATGGACAGTGGGGTCCAAAACTAGTGAAAATGTTTCTTTTCTAATTTAATACAAAGATTTTCCATGCAGATTTTATTATTAGCATTACAATTTTGACAAAACCTTTGAAATATTTACATGAATTTCATGGACTCCACAAGTTAGTGTAAAAGCCTCTGATAAGTAGATCAAGTCCACCTGAGAATCGTTTGAACATATGCTTCAATGGAAAGGATAACACACACACAAAAAAATAAGAAAGCTACATAAGCCTTTCATTAAGACATAAACCTACATGGATCACCATTCTGCCAAACTGGATCGAAGCCAGAGTTGAAAACACATTTTGGACTAAAGTCTTTTTGCTATGAGTGACCCTACACCTAAATGTTTATTTTATTAAATTAAATAATTGAACATTCCATTTTGTCACTCCCCAAACCACCATAACACTACCAAAACTTTGCCAAATATGTCAGTAGTGACTGTTGTGGTAGTGACCATTTTATTGAGCATTGCAGAAAACATACAATATAGCCAAAAATATGTGGATGCCCCATATTTTGATTGAGTTCAGGTATTTCAGCCACACCAATTGTGATCAGGTGTGTAAAATCTTTTATTTTTATACTAATGCTGTTTGCTATCCGGTGTCAACCAGAGGAGGATGGGTTCCCCTTTTGAGTCTTGGTTCCTCTCAAGGTTTCTTCCTCTTGCTCTTAGGGAGTTTTTTCTTGCCACTGTCGCCATTGTCTTGCTCATGGAGGCTTGGACATGGATTCTTCTGTAAAGCTACTTTGTGACAACACCTGTTGTAAAAAGCGCTATATAAATAAACTTTGACTTGACTTGACTTACAATCAAGCACATAGCCATCTCCATAGACAAACATTGGTAGTAGCATGGGTCATGTGTTAGTTCTGCCCCAATCAACTGTAAGTGTTATGCCACTGAACACCTTTAAAATTGAAATGTTGATTGCCAGGCCTTGTCATCCAACATCCGTGCCTGACCCCACAAATGCTCTTTTGACTGAATGGGCATAAATTCTCACAGACACAGTCCAAAATCATGTGGAAAGCCTTCCCAGAAGAGTGGAGGCTGTTGCAGCCACAATGTGTGAGCCAACTTTATATTAATACCTGTGGTTTTGGAATGGGATATCTATCAAGCTCATATACGTGTGTTAGTCAGGTGTCCACATACTTTTGGCCATACAGTGTTTCAGTAATGAAAATTCTTAATGTTACACACTGATTTTCATACCTTGGGACACATTTACTTCAAAACAATGGGATCTAACTGCTCATTGTGTAGCCATCAGTGTGTCTCACTTGCTGCTCTAAAATGCAAAGGTGTGGCTAGAATAAGGCTCCACCTATGGAGTAAAACTCTTTGGGTTTTGGTAACGACAGTTTTTTATGTAAAAAAATTCAACTTATAATCATATAAAAAAATCAGGAAGATCTTTAAATAAACAATGAAAAAAATACGTAAGTATTAGTTTCACAAGTTAAAATTTAGGGGCTAGGGTTTGGGACAACCATATCCTAATAGAAAGTATCATATAAATAATGGTTTATAGGGTATGTTTAGGGTATATTTTGCATATTACTACCTCAATCTGTTTAAACCCAATTAAGGCCTTGAGTTTAAATATATCATAATATGACCTTTGTAAATATTTACCATCTGAGCAGTTTGAACTAATTCGGTAGAATGGTCCATACAGACATTTGTAAAGGCTTATGAACTTACTGAGGTGAAATAAGAGCAAAATTGACAAACATAGCCTTTATGATAACTGAAACTTGTTGGAACTTTTCCCAAAAAAGTAAAAAAAACACAATTCGGTGATGTGCAAATCATTTAAACCTTATATTAAATCGAAAATAGTACAAAGGCAGGCAAACAATTTTCATTAGGTAGAACCAAGTGGCTATGAAATAACCTTTTGCAAACAAGCAAAGTTTCAGTTTAAGATTTATTTGCAACTTAGTTACAAGTTTAAATTTTATAAAAACTTGCTTTAAACACAGGTTCACAAATGAGTTTTCCTTTTCATATTGCATCTGTAGGTCTCTGTTCATAAACAAACTAGCCAACATAAATTTACTATAAAATGAAAAAGTTTATATAAATTCAGAAAAAAGAAACATGCCAGTCACAACTGCATGTATGTGCATATTTCTATATTGTGGTCTATTTAGACAAAGTTAGGTAAGAGTCAGGAGTTTCTTCCATCATTTATGTAGGAATAGGCACTCCTAAACTTTTACACTGTTGCACTGACGTTGCTGTATGCTTGCACTGGGTAGCTATGTCCAAAATGTCAAAACAATCTCAAAACAAAGTGCGTGCTGTACCCTGATTGGTGTGCTTGCTTCATGCTTCTTTTGTTTTGACATGTTATGTTTTATGCACACATAACCAAAAGGAACCACAGATTTCGCATAATGTAGTGGATATTTGACTTTGAAATGTAGTGGAGTAAAAGTAAAAAGTCACCCAAAATGGAAATACTTCAGTAAAGTACAGATACACGAAAAAACTACTTAAGTGCAGTAACAAATTACATTTACTTCACTACTGTTCACCACTGCAGGCAGCACCCGGACTCTTTTACTACAGAGCCATGTTGTGCAGAATGTGGTTTGGCATTGTATTGCTGAAATAAACAAGGCCTTCCCTGAAAAGACGTTGTCTGGGTGGCAGCATATGTTGCTCCAAAACCTGTATATAATGTAGCATTGGTGCCTTCACAGATGCACCCATGCCATGTGCACTAATGCAACCCCCATACCATCACAGATGCTGGTTTTTGAGCTGTGCGCTGATAACAAGCCGGACGGTCTTCTCTTTAGCCTGGAGGATGCATGATTTTCAAGAAGAATTTAAAATTTTAATTTGTCAGACCACAGGACACTTTTCAGCTCAGTCCATCTTAAATAAGCTTGGGCCCAGAGAAGGCGGTGGCATTTGTGGGTACTGTTTAGATATAGTTTATTCTTTGCATGGTAGAGTTTTAACTTGTGGTTGCAGATGCAGCAGCAAACTGTGGTACATAATTGTATGTGTTTTTAAGTTAAATTACCCTTTATTTTCCCGCAATGGGGAAATTCACCTTCACATTTAACCCATCTGTGCAGTGAAACACCCACATACACACTAGTGAATTGACACACACTAGGGGCCACGATGCCCGGGGAGCAGTTGTGGAGTAGGTGCCTTGCTCAAGGGCAGTTCAGTCATGTTCTGTCAGCTCTGGGGATCGAATCAGCAACATTCCAGTCACAAGGCTGGTTCCCTAACCTCCAGCGCATGACTGCCCCCATGCAGTGCCGTCTGAGGGTTTGAAGATCACGATCAGCCAATACTGGTTTTGTCACTTGCATGCAGAGATTTCTCCGGGTTCCCTGAATCTGTTTCTTGCTATTTTACATTGAGAAACGTTATTCTTGTTTGCATGTGCAACCTTTCATAGAGTGATGAACCCCTCCCCATCTTTACTTCTGAAAGACTTAGACTCTCTTGGATGCTCATTTTGTACCCAGCTATGTTACTGACCTGTTGGCAGTTAACCTAATTATTTGTGAGATGTTCCACCAAGTGTTTTTTTTTTTCATTACACAACTTTTCCTAGTCCTTTGTTGTCCCTGTACCAACTTTTTTGAAATATGTTGCTGGCATTAAATTCAAAATGGGCATTTATTTTTCAAAAAACAATAATCTTTCTCAGTTTCAATTTTTGATATGCTGTCTTTGCACTTTTTTTCAATTAAATATAGGGTTTAAATGATGTGTAAAGCCCTGCTGTGTGTATTCCTCAGGTATCTCATGAATGTGACGTTTGAGGGCCGTAACCTGTCCTTCAGTGAGGATGGATATCAGATGCACCCAAAACTGGTCATCATCCTGCTGGACAAAGACAGGCAGTGGGACAGAGTGTGTCTTTATTTATCTTACTCTCTCTTGGTTTATCTCTTTCAGTTCTTTTCAACAGTTTGTTTTAAAAAATTTAATTTGCATCGTCGAGACATTACAACAAGCATTATAATACATATAAAATTATTATTGTTATATGTAGCTTCAAGGCTGATTAAAATAATATACGTGCAAATTCTGTGACTTTAACATATTATTCAGTAATTGAAAAAGACCAGTATAAGAATTTAAAATATACATAATGAGGTTTTCTGCAGGTATCAGCTAATTTAATGCATATTTTTAATGTCATTTTTAGTAATTTTGAGAAATACTTAATACTGCTGTGGGAAGAAACATTACATTAAGTACTTTTAGTTTCTTTGATTAGTACCGCCACAAAAGTGCTACTTTTTGAATGTTGCTGTTCAGTGTTTTTACAAATACAAATAAGAGTTGACAGAAGTAATATTACAAATAGTGTAATATTACTTCTGTCAACTTTTAAACATAGAGATTTGAAGCTTATAATAGACATTCAAGTTGAATACTCGTTATACTCGTTGCTTTGCAGTTTTAAGGTGAATCCTTCAGAAAATAGTTTAACTTAAAGCCTAACTACATATTGTTAAAGTCCTGTTTGACTGTAGTTGTCTACTGAGCTGTTCAGTCTAGACCTTGTTAAACAAAACCATTTCCTTTATATATACTTTTACTTCCTATGTACACAATTTGTAACAGCAACCCTTTAATTTCACTTCAAAACATGAAATTTGTAGCAACAACTTAGATGCATTAGTGAGTTCATACTGGTGTGGCTTTCCTTTCTTTTAGTGATGCCTACAAAAGCTATTTAAGTGCTAAAGGGTGCTTGTCGAGAGTGCTCAGCCTGCTAAAATTGGCTTTAGCCAATGATATACCCAAATTATTATTCACTTTGCAAACTAATCATTGCCAGTTGACCAAGAACGCACAGTTAATTCAGTTAATTATTTATATTAATAGCGCTTATTGCATTTTACCCTGCATTATGTTGTGCCCAGTGCTCCCCTATAATGTGTTATGCAATATTTTATGTTGCATGTTGCAACATACTATTTTGTAATATATTATAGTGCCTGTTGCAATGCTCTCTCTGGACTTTTCTTTCTTGACTTTTATAAATTTCTTTTAGCTATTGTTGTTGCCCTAAAACAACTCATATCCCCATTCAAATATACTAATGTAACTCCAGAATGGTTTGCCTTTCAAGTAGACTATTCTACAATACAGAATTTTTTAATGGGATACAAAAATAAAGGAATTAATAATTTTCTTTTATAACAGCTATGATTTGTTGTCCTTTAGCACAGAAGACAATAAATCACAAATAGCACCAACTACATAAGTGCTGCAGCTGCTGCTTTAGCCACATTTCTGTGTCTGTGTGTGTGTGTAGGTGGGAAAGTGGGAGAACGGCTCATTGTTAATGAAATACCACGTGTGGCCGCGGTTTGAGCTGTACTCTGGAGCAGAGAGCCGCCAGGATGACCACCTCTCCATTGTCACTCTGGAGGAAGCTCCATTCGTTATAGTGGAAGATGTAGATCCACTGAGTGGAACATGCATGAGGAACACTGTACCATGCAGGAAACAGCTAAAGATACGGTACACACAAACACACACATACACTACGGCTCAAAAAGTTTCAAATATTACCGGTTACCGTATTAACAATTTTAGTTGTTGCAATACTGACTCGTACAGTGTGGAATTAAATATTGGTCATAAAACCTGACCGATGATTTGTGATCTTTTACCCACATAATTTTTGTTTATGTCTTTATTTCGATGTTAGTGTGAACGCTAAGCGAATCAGAGCTAAAATGCAACAGTGTATCTTTTTTTTTGGTGTGTACCAAGAAAACCAAATTACAAGTATAAATGCACCCTATGTGACTAAAATGAATCAGGCCACTTTATATTGAATATTTAGGCCCATATGATTTCCATAATGCAGAGAACACAAACGAAATTAAAGAATTGAAAGTGTCAAGTGTACAGAAATACCAGTTGTTCAAACCAAATTGAGGAGCAGGGCATTATAATATCATTTCAGTAGTTATCATTATCATTTTTTATCAACGGCTATGCACAAGCCAGCTCAAAATATGCTACACAGATGTCTTGGTAACACATACAGTGCCCTCCACAAACATTGGCACCTGGTGAACATGAAAAAAAAAAACAGGCTGTAAAAAACATTGTTGACTGCTTATCCTTGATCTTTCATTCAGGATGCTAACAAAAATCTCACCTTTATTTGAAAAAAGCTAAATCTTATTATGAAATAAATATTTTATGTGTCTCACAATTGTTGGCACAATCTGCTAGGGAAGATTGGATAGCTGTCCCATTGTAAAAAGTGTAAATGCGTCCAAGATGCATGGGAGACAGAATGCCATCTGATCACTCAAACCACTTGAGGAACTGCACTGGAGACACAACTCAGCAAAAAGTAAACATATCTGTTTAGTCTGGCAGAGATAAATGAACCTGTAATCTGTCGCATATGACATCAAATAATTTGATGTTGTGTTCAAAAGCTAGTTAGCCTGTCAGTGCTGTCAATGAAAGCACATAGCACTATCCCCTCCACCAGCATTGACCCTTTAATCTTAGCTGTAGAGCGCTTTCGCTAGTGAAATCAGTTGCTGACAACAAAACAAGGACTGGATAAAACAACTTCTGTTGCCTCCCTTTGATTGATAAAAAGTCCATAACTACAAAGAACAACATTTCTGTAGTGTCCAGCATCACTTTATATTTTCTTATAATGCAGGAAAAGCAGCACAGACACAGTCTGTCAAACTGAGATGCATTCGTTTGGCCAAGTGCAGTAGAACTTAGACAAACCTGATTGGGACATTTTCCAGTTACAAAATGCCTTCAGTGGTAAATATGCTCAAATACTTGAGCATATAATAAATATTATACAAATACACAGATCTACACAAGTCGGTGGTGGGCAACTCCAGCAACTCCAGCAATGCCAGATTTTCACACAGTTAGGTGGTTTTCCTGTGCAAACACACCTGATTCTGCTCAGCAGTTAATTACCAGCATTAGAAGGTGTGTTAGAGCACCTGTTAGAAGGTGTGTGGACTCTATTCCTCCAGAACATGAGTTGCCCATCACTGAGCTAAATAAAGGTACCGTTGATGGTGTGGCTGACCTGTGAAGCATTTCTGTAGGGAGTTTTTATATAACAATACTGGCAGCGATCAGCTGAGTGTTTTTAAGATACATGAGAAGCTCCTGATTGGCACACGACAAAAAACAGTCCTTTCAAGCACAGAGAGAGGCTAATGACTGCATGTCCAGATTTTTTGGAAAAACATCCAAAGTTGCAGAATGATTCTAACGCACACAAACACATGCACACACATAAACAATGCCATTCAATCCTTACATACAATACTGAGGAAAAGTCAGAGACCACCCTTCATTTATTTAATATCAGTCAAAATTATAAATTAAAACATCATATAACATTAGAATATATGTAAATATACATAAATACAATAAACATTTCCAGCAACCACATAAATTTGTTAAATTCCATCACCAGCACACTTGATTTAACATAAGGAAGTGTTAATTAGCCCAACCAGGTGTTGGATAATAACTATAAACTTCTACAATGAGAGGTTTGGAAATGGTTAAACAAGCACATTGATAAACATAAAATCACTACTTATTGTATAACTATTTGTTATTTGTATATATTGTATATCACTCCTGTCGGAAGAAAACCTTATATCTCCATTTTTAGGTTTTTGACATAATTTGAAAATGCCTGATGCCCTTTACATTGTGTATAAATTTCATGATGCATGGAACAAAAGAAACAGCCCAAAATTACTTGGAAGAAAGTCTGGTTCCATTGATGTGCATTAAAAGTAAAGCAGGTTTTTTCCTTCTACTGTAAAGTTACCATTTTGGAGATATGAGGTTTTCTTCCGACAACAGCGATATATTGTACATATTGTAATAGTAGTGTTTTGAGCAAATAAACACTTACCTCCCAGATAAATAGCTTTTTAAATTGAATTTTCTCAGGTCCCTAGAACTTTTGCACAGTACTGTATGTTTTCTGCTTTTTCCTGACACTGAAAAATGAATAAACTGTAGTTAATGGGAAATTAACTAAATGAAGGGTGGTTCCTGATTTTTGCAATGTACTTTATATTAACCTTAAATGTACTTTATATTTTGATTCTCTCCCTCTCTTTCTCTCTTTCTCTTTCTTTTTCTCTCTCAGTAATCAGACAGGTGACTCTAGTGTATACATTAAACGCTGCTGTAAGGGTTTCTGCATTGACATTTTGAAGAAAATTGCCAAGTCAGTGAAGTTCACCTATGACCTTTATCTGGTCACCAACGGCAAACACGGCAAGAAAATCAACGGCACCTGGAACGGCATGGTGGGAGAGGTGAGAAGAAGTGTGTGTGTGCTGTTACAAAGATAATCCATCACTGGAGTGTTTTAGGGCTCCAGGAAAACACCATATTGTGATTGTATTTATTTAAAACACACTGGCAAACCCTTATTATGGCACAAATCGATAAATTAATTCAGACACTTAAATCTTTATTCACCTGTCACATAAACAAACCATCCATCCATCCATCCATCCATCCATCCATTTATCCATCTTCAAAGCTGCTGATCTTTCTGGGTTGCAGAGGGTGCTGGAGCCACCCTGGACAGGAAACACCCTGGACAGGTCGCCAGTCCATTGCAGGGCAGATACAACGACATACACAATCACACTCATTCACACCTAAGGACGATTTAGCATCTCCAGTTGGCCTGACTGCATGTCTTTGGACTATGTGAGGAAACTGGAGCACCGGGAGGAAACCAAATAAACAAACTACATAAATTAATTGATTATTTAATTAAAGCGAGGTCAAAGTTGTCTTCTTACTCGTAGCTGCAGACATGGGTGTTTTAAAAAGGGAGAATTTTCCAGGAAAAACTACAGAACTTGATTGTGCTTCAAATTTAATTCTTGATCCATGACTTGAGTAACCTACAATAGTTACCAGCAGTCACATGGTAGGGTCTTTGTTTTTAACTGTGCCCACTGTTTTCAAGTTTCAACAACAGGTGTTGTTGCAAGGCGGCTTTACAGAAAAATTCGGGTCCAAGCCCCCATGAGCAAGCCAATGGCGACAAGATAGCTAAACAAAGCAAAACAAAGATTAAATATTTTTTTTATTTGATTTTAAATGCTGTGTATAGTTCTTAAAGAACTAATTATAAACTTCTGGGTAGGTGTGAGTGTTGGCGTAAGCTGATGTACTGTATCACCCAAATGCTCCATTTTCTTTTACCAACACAATATATGTAACTAGGGTTGCACCGATACAGATACCATATCAGTATTGGTGCTGATACTGGCACTTAAAAGCTGTTTTTGTGATGGGGATATTAAAAGCACAAAGCAAATTCAGAGGAGTATGTAGATTAAACTTAACAACACATCAACAGTGGGGGTTGACAAAGCAGCTGTAAAAATACTCATGGCAAAATCCGTAAAGCCAGTATTTCATGGGGAAGGCAGTGGTAGTGGGTGATATGCCAGTTAACTTCTTCCTGAAGTATTTGTTTCACCGATTTGCCACAAATAAGCCAGTTAACAACTTACAGACAGTTTAAAACATGCTAAAGGCAGGCACCCCTTTAACTTACCTGAATGGCTGAGCCACACTTCTTTCAGTAATCACTCATTGCCACTTTGAAGTCAGTTACAGTCTGAGTTAATGTTAGTCCAGGTTTTTACAGAGGGAACATTAGAAAAAAAGACATTATATATGGAAGTATGCCTAGGGCCCCCCATGAGCCAAGGGCTCCATGAAAATAGATATACAGTATGTATTGGTGTTCAATACGCTGTTCTAACTTTCCGGATGTTGAGAGGGAAATTCAAGTAAAAGTTATTCAAGAGCAGCAGAGAAACACAAAACACAAAGCCTTCAGGATGTCTACACCAGAAACGGCAAATGTGTGTGTCAAGCCAAAACACAAACAAACCATAGACCTATCAGAAAAAAGCTTGAGACTTAAATTAAAATAGGTGAGTTTCCTTGCTATCCTATGCTGTTGGATGGCTCGGTTTTATCTGCTAACTTGTATCTGCTAAGTCTATTTAGCTGGCTAGCTAGCTAAGTATCCTGGTCAATCCGTGACACAAAACAAACTATAATAATTTACCTCCAACTTCCAGCACTCTGGAATCTCTCTTCAAATTGTTTCCTTTTTGTTAAATCCTTATAGTATGTACTGGAAGGGTAGCGTAGAGCCCTCCTTTTCTCCACTTCATGGAAGAGTTTCTCTGCATCTGTTCAGATTGGAATGGCACATAGATGCTAGCCATCAAAAATAGAATCTATTATTGTCTATCAAAACATTTTTATTGTCCGTCAAAAAACTGACACACTCTGCCGCTTGAAGCTAGTACCAACAGCTTCATTGGTTATAATGAGAGAGTTTTGGCTTTGTCATTGTTGCTTGCTCTTGTCACTTGCTGTTTGGAGAGGGTGAAAGAGGGAGGAAAGCAAGACCGTACATAATGCTAGCATAGATAGCTTCAGTGTTGGGGTACTTACTCAAAATAGGCAATCCATTACATGTTACAATTTACTTTTCTCAAACTGTAAAACTTCCTGAACAACAAAATAAATAAAAAAATACTATTTTATTTACTTCAGTGTTAGACAGTTTCACTTAATAAAATTAAAATGTGTATTTTTTGCTGTGTAGATGGTTCTACCCCATTCCAGGGGGCCTCATTCCTGTCTTTTTTCTAAAGCCTCAAAAACACTAAATCTGCCCCTGCCGCTAGCCAGGCTAGTGTGTCCAGTAGACTCGCTTGTCGTGGTCCTCTGTTTCCCAGGTGCATCAGACAGTGACATGGTTGTGTGGCCTGTTGCTTTAACCAAGCTGGAAAAACTGCAGAAAGCCATTGCTTCTGACAGCGTGAATGACTGTAATATTAACTGAACGCAAGAAGAGTCTGAGGCCTGAACGTTTGCAGAACTTTTCATTTATCCAACTATAAGCATTACAATAATGCTCATTCCTGCTTGAACCTTTGTGGTATTTGCAATGTTATGTTAAGCTAAAGGTGGTGTACACTCACTTTCCACAGTGGGGTTAAATACCACTTATAGATTGCTCTCACTTTCAATGATGCACACAAAACCTTCTTGAGTGCTAATATCTCCCCCTTGTAAAGAACTTTAGGCACAGAAATTTTAGGGACGTGTGATTTAACACGCTACCGGTTTGCCTACAGAAGGGATAACTCTCAACTTACACTGTACAGTTTTATTATTTTTATGTTTGAAATATTTTAACATATTGTTTAGATCTGGCCATTTATTACTCCAAACTACACACGCCTTATTTGAATACCTGAAATGAATACCTGACATTTTTGGATACTTAAATTTCTGTGCAAAAGTCAGAGACCACTCTTCTTTTATTTAATTTTCAGTCAATTAATTTTTTCAGTCAGAATAGTCATTTAATGTAAGTTATTGATTTTTCAGCGTCAGGAAAAAGTGCAATACATATATTTAACAGAAAATTACACAGAAGCCTCAATAAGTAAATATAGTATTTTTTCATTTTTATTTTAAATTTTTATCAATATTTTTCGTTATTTAGTGTGGCCACTCTTTGCCTTTATTACAGCTTCTATTCTTTTTAGAAGACTTGCTTTCAGTTTTTCATGATGTTCAGGGTCTGGGCTCAGTGGACTAATAGACCTTTTTGACTGGAAACAAAGTCAAAGAGGGGGTGATTTCTGACTTTTTCACTGTACTGTACAAATAGCACTCATAAATCAAACAATATATCTACACAGTTATGCATCATAAAACATTGCAGTGTTTCTATTTGCCTTGTGCTAACTTAAAGCTATATGGTTGAAGTTGCTTTTGTCTTGTGTTTATTTGAATACATGACCTTAAAAGGACAGATAATCCATTATTATGCTTATTTAATATAGTAATCATTTGGTCTAGGTTACAGGTTACGTTTGTAACAGGTAATGAGTATTCTGTACTGGAATAAATTCCTAAAGTAACCTTCCCAACCCTGCTTTTAGCTCTTTCTAGATAAGCTGTTTTGTCTCCAACCTACTTTCACAGTTAGGCAAAATTGTTCTTTTTTTTAATACTGTGTTTTAAATTTGAAAGGTCAGTTTAATATGCATTCAGCCTGTTACTGTTTAAACTTTCATTTTTATCCATGCTAAATGGATAGTGACCCAGTTTCACTTTAACCGTGCATATCCCTGATTCCCTGAGTTATCTTCTATTTTTTTTTGTTGAAGAAGCTCACAGGAAGCCTCAAGCCCACGCTGTCTTATTCCCAACATTTTCCAAAAGCAGTGCAGTTTTCCACAAGTAACTGTTTGAAACAAGTACAGCAGTAAATATGCGATGGATCTGTCCTTATATTTATTATCGGTCCATCCTTTCTGTGCTCAATTAGAGAAATGCTCTCTCTCTCTGCCTTGGTATGCACAAATGTATTTCCTTGTTACTACTTTGCAAAAATGTTTAATTTAAGAAGAATCATTTCATTTTGGTGTAGACAGAATCAGTTTTATAGCAATCTGTGCTTTACACCTGTCTATAATTACTTTTACCTTATTATAAATGTGTTTTTGTTGGGATGTTGAAATCCGATTTAATACATTGCATATTGACAATATTAAGTCCAATCCACTTCTAATCTTTTGTTGTGCCCTATTTACCAAAAACTGACATTTTAGTGACAGTGGCAGGAAAGCATGCTCTCGAACATGAACAAATCATCAGTATCAGTAAATTACTGTTTAAGTGTTCTATAATGCTTCTCTAATATTGCCAAAGTAGCTATGAAAGAATGAATTTGAGTGGAGCAAAGTCAGTTCCTGCATTATTCTTGCACTTTGTGTACATGTCTAAAAGAGTGTTTTAGCTTCCCTGCAGCAATTCAAAGCCAGTCATAATCATCCATCTACTGTTTATATTGCAATACACCTGATAACACGAAATCAACACACACACAAACACTGTACACAGCTCATTCTCAGCAACACCCATTTTGGTCACTTTCATAACAGAGGAAGAGGAGGAGAAAGAAGGAATGGGAGAGAGAGGAAGAGGAGGAGAGAGAAAGAGCGACTAGAAGAAGAGGAGGAGAAAGAGAGGGAGAAAAACATAAAGAGAGAGAGACCAAGAGATAAGGTGAACAAAAGAACTTGAGATGGGATAGGTAAATAGAGAGAGGGAGGAAGAAAAGGAGAGAAAGAGAGGAAAAGAGATATAAAGAGAGGATGAGAAAGAGAAATTGAGAAGGAGAGAAGAAAGAAAAAGAACAGGAGGAAAGAGAGACAGATGAGAGAAAAGAAGAAGAGGAGGAGGAGAGAAATAGGCAGACAGGAAGAGGACACTCGAAAGAGGGAGAGAAAAAGACAATACATGGGGAGGACAGAAAGGGAGACAGGGAGAGAGAAAAAGAAGACGCAGAGAGAGAGAAAGAGAGTCTGGAAGAAGAGGAGGAGGAAAGAGACCGAGAGATATGGAAAGAGACAGAAAGAGAGGAAGAGACAGAGAGAGGGAGAAAGAGAGAGAGATAGATGGGACAAGGGGAGAAAAGTTGCTCCTGGATGAATATGTTCTCTCAAAGGACACACACACACCCTCAAACACTTCCACTATCACCCCACGGAAGCACTTCTAGATAAAACCAAGCCTCAGTGTACACACTCCTCACACACACACACAAACACCTTGTTTCTAGGTTGTGTTTTGTCCCAGTTTAGCGGGCAGGTATGTAGGGCTAAATGTGCATGTGGATCAGGCCAGGGTGGGACGGAGGGGGAGACAGAGACAGAACGTGGGAGTGGGGGGGTGTGTGTTATTTCCAGCAGTGACCCAGTGTTGTAACCCACTTTTTCTTTTCTTCATTCTGTTGTTCTTTTTTCCTCTCTGCTGCTCCTTCTGCTCTGCATCCAACTGCCCCTATCCCCTAACTTGGGGCAGTTAGGTTTAGGGTTTGAGGTTTAGGGTGTGGGGTTACCCCGCTGTATTATACCCTGTTTGTTTCAGTTCCTCTCAGTTCAATGCAGCAGTCCTTAATTAGCATGGATGTCTTATTATTACCAAAACTATGATTATTAAAGTGATGGTTAAGCAAAGCATCTAATTTGGCCAAATCTATTCAATCAACTAATACATCTTTAGTGCTTCTTTAGTTTTGCACTGGAGCTGCAAGAATAATGTAGGTAACAAGTAATGAAAGCTCATACCCTACCAAATGGCACTGTGGCAACTGCATGCCTGCTTTAGACATCAGATGTCTTGGCTGATTGACTGCATTTGGGGTAAAGGATAAATTGGGGTGAATTGTGAAAGTTTTTCTGATGAATTATGGCTTTAACTGGTTTCTATTACATTATCTCTCTCTATCATTGTCTCTAGGTGGTGGCGAAGAATGCCCACATGGCAGTAGGTTCTCTCACCATAAATGAGGAGAGGTCAGAAGTCATTGACTTCTCTGTGCCCTTTATTGAGACAGGCATCAGCGTCATGGTCTCACGTAGCAACGGGACTGTGTCGCCCTCTGCGTTTCTGGGTGAGATGATAAAACAAACTAAAACAAACTGTGAATGCAAGTATTCAAGAATGGTCTGCTACCCCAATACAGACTGCATATCTCTTTCAAACTGCCCCAATACAGACTGCTCTTGTCCCTCGAACTGCCCCAATATAAACTGACACTGTCCCTCAAACTGCCCGAATACACACTGCTTCTATACCCCCAAACTGCACCAGTGCAGAGTGCTAATGTACCCCTAAACTGCCCCAATTCAGACTGCTACTGTACCGCTAAACTGCCCCAATTCAGACTGCTACTGTACCGCTAAACTGCCTCAATTCAGACTGCTACTGTACTGCTTAACTGCCTCAATTCAGACTGCTACTGTACTGCTAAACTGTCTCAATTCAGACTGTACCCCCAAACTGCACCAATGCAGACTGCTGCCATATCCCCAAAATGTCCCAATTCAAACTGTCCCAATGTATACTGCTATGTACCCCCAAACCATCCCAGTGCAGTCTGCTACTGTACCCCGAAACTGTCCCAGTGCAGTCTGCTACTGTATCCCCAAACTGTCCCAATGTAGACTGCTACTGTATTGCCAAACTGTTCCAATGTATACTGCTACTATACACCCAAACTGTCCCAGTGCAGTCTGCTACTGCACCCCCAACCTGTCCCAATGTAGACTGCTACTGTGCTCCCAAATTGTCCTAATGTATACTGCTGCCATATACCCAAAATGTCCCAATTCAAATTGTCCCAATACAGTCTGCTATTGTACCCCCAAACTGTCCCAATTTAGACTTCTACTGTCCCCTCAAATTGTCCTAATGTAGACTGCTACTGTACCCCCAAACTGTCCCAATGTAGACTGCTACTGTACCCCCAAATTGTCCTAATGTAGACGGCTACTGTACCTCCAAATTGCCCCAATGCAGACTGCTACTGTATCCCCAAATTGCCCCAGTGCAGACTGCTACTGTCTTTCCATAATGCCCCAACAGAGACTGCTACTCTACCCACAAACTGCCACAGAGCAGACAGCTCTAAATCTTTATTTTTGCAAACATGTGATTAAATAAAAATCTCTGTACACATAGATTTTAATGGTTTTTCACGTTTAAATGTACCCCTTCTGATTTGAGGGTGCATTCTGTCAGTTCCAACTCAGAAACACTAAGTTTTGTATATTGTGAAATGTCTGTTATATTTTTGGCATATCGCCTACTATTACTGTATCTCCTAACTGCCTGAACCGTTAGTAGATCTGCTGTGTGCTAGTTCTATACTGCAGTTCACCTTAGGCAAATGCTGTGGTAAAGTTGTGTTTATACTGGAGGGGTCTTTCTAGATGGTGCTGACGGAGCTGTATATGTGTGTGTGTGTCTGTAGAACCCTTCAGTGCGGACGTGTGGGTGATGATGTTCGTCATGCTGCTGCTGGTTTCTGCTATCGCCGTGTTTGTATTCGAATATTTCAGCCCTGTGGGCTACAACCGCTGCCTCGCCGACGGAAGGGGTGAGTTACTACACCCGCACTCTGTCTGTGTGTGCGTGTTTCAACTGAGAAGGATCACACTCAGGTGACACTGGCATCTCCATACTCTGTGCCTTCACACACGCACACACACACACACGGCTGTCACTATTCACACAGGCTTTTCTCCTGAGGGAGTTTTGTCACTGGCTACCCATCTTATATATTCCCACATGCCTAACTGTCTGGGTCTCTCTCCCTCTCTCTCTTTCTTTCTCTCCATCTCTGTCTGTCTGTCTTGCATTCATTTCCATATTTTTAGGAATCTGGTGTCATAGTTGACAGCGTGTGGAGTGTTAGATCTTCCAGTAGAAAAAAGAGAGAGCGAGAAAATCAATGCCTCTCATCCCTCCTCATGATCGGCCAATATTTATACCTATCTTCCCTCTGCCGGTTAGCCTAGAGGATTCCTCCCTGTAGGCTGACCAGCACAACTCTAATGTTCTGAAAGCTGTGTATTCATTTCAAAATGTACACAAGTAAATATGCCACCACTCAAACACCAAATGCAAAGAATGTCGTTTGCATGGTTCAGTATCAGTCCTTCAGCAATTTACTGCTTTTTTTACTTTGAGCACAGCACATTTCAAGTTATGTTTTAGACAACTGGACAAAAGTGGATAAAGGTGTAATGCATAGCTAAAGTAGTAACAGCAGTCTGGAGTTCTGAATAGACTAAGGAGTGTATTGACAGTGCGATTTTTTATACTTTAGTACATTGTTTCTTGTGATTTTTCTGCATTGTTTACATGTTGACATAGTTTAAAACAAATTGTGGTCCATGCCCCATGGCAAAATTGTTGTAAATGGTGATGGTGCTTGACTGTGTAAACATTGCCATGGTGATTTTTAATGGTATAACAGAAGCGTTTCTGAATATGTGTGCGAGACAGAGGTATGCACTATCCTGTCTTATGAAGAACAAACATGAATGTGTCTCAGTACATCACATTGTGTATTTATGTTGATTTACCCTGTAGATTGCTCCAGGATTACCTACGGTTGCCCACTATTCACAGTTATTTATGGGGCCTGATGGCATTTATGGGCTTATGCGAGGTTATGTGTTTTTCTGAGGCTATTCCACAGATTGTAGAGGCATTTACAAGTGTATCCTTAGATAGGTTCATGCTGCAGGGTCACACATGGGCATGGCTGGTTCAAGCTGAAGTAGAGGGGTTTAGGAGTGACTTAGACCACTTGGAGGATGACACTTCATGTTGTTTTTAGAGCATTCCTGCTCCTCAGTTCTTCCAGTTTTGCAGGTATTTTCCTCTGTTTATTGGTTATAATGTAACTGAATCTGATTGTTTTTTTTTCCACAGAGCCTGGAGGCCCTTCGTTCACCATTGGGAAGGCAATCTGGTTGCTGTGGGGCTTGGTCTTTAACAACTCTGTCCCTGTGCAGAACCCCAGGGGCACCACCAGTAAGATCATGGTGTCCGTCTGGGCCTTCTTCGCTGTCATCTTCCTGGCCAGCTACACTGCCAACTTGGCTGCATTCATGATCCAGGAGGAGTATGTGGACCAGGTGTCCGGCCTCAGTGACAAAAAGGTACAGAAATACAGATGCTGAAGGAACGAAGGAGCTTATGTTGTGTCTTTCCTTGTTTTGATCTCATCGCTTTTTAAAACCCTTTTCCACCGACAAGGTGTCAGTGCTGGTGCAGGAGTCAGTGCTGGTTCCTGGGAACCAGCAAACCTATTTAAGAACTGGTCTGCATATCTGAGTGCTCAAGAGAGGAACAGTTATGTAACTGGATGTGGATGTACACATCTGCCAGTAGAAATTGTCCTAACCCTTTAATGTCTGTTTCTGCCGTTTAATCCTTTGTTCTCAATTAGTAACAGCAGTGTTGTTGTTGCATTTATTTGATACGCAAAAAACTACCTTTTTGAATGGAAAAAGTCATGACTAAGAATGCACTTCACATATCATTTGTATTTAGGCGCTACTTTGACAGAAAACAATAAGTGACTACCAATACAGATTGTACTCGAAATGTGCTTTCGCCATCTCAAAAAAAAATCCTCCAGCAATAAATGCAGCCTTGTACATTTTGAATATAGTGACAGAAACCATTGTAGCTCACAAAAGGCCCTGATTCTACATTTTTACTGGATTCTTGCATGTACAGCGCCTTTCAAACCCTCCACAGTATTTCAATGGGATTGGGATCTGGACTTAGACTAGGCCATTCCTCAACCCTCCATTTCCTTTTGAACCGTTTCTTGGTGAGTTTATTTGTATGTTTGGGATCTTCATCCTGTTGGAAGGTCCACATTTTCAGCTTAAACTTTTTAGCAGATGGCTTCACATTCTCATCAAACACTCTCTGGTATGAAAGAGAATTTATAGTCAATTAAATGAAGCAAAGCAGCCCCAAACCATAACCCTTTCCACCACCACTTTACAGTTGGTACGAGGTTCTACTGATCAAATGCAGTCTTTGGTTTTTGCCACACTTGGCTTCTAGTACTGTGGCCAAACAATCTATCTTTGACTCGCCTATCCATAGCACATTGTCCCAAAAGTGCTGGTCCTCACCGAGATATTCATTAGCAAACTTTAGTCTTGCCCCAATGTTCTTTCACGGCTGCCAGTGCTTCCTCCTGGCGCGCCTCCTATGTAGGTCAAATTTGTGCAGTCTCATTCTAATTGTAGATACATGGACTTTGACATCCACAGTGACAAGAGCTACTTGATCTTGTGATAAATTTTGGGGTTCTTAAGTTTTTGCGGTTCTTAAAGATTTATTTTAGTATTTTACAGTCTGCTCTTGTGTTAAATTTGCTGGGGCAGCCTGGCCTGGACAAGTTGGCAGGTTTTAAATTTCTACTTCTGTATACCTTGTCACCTTTATCTATCAGCAGGATATCTGTATGTCCAAATATGCTGAAAAAAAGTCTAAACTACATGGTAATACAAACACTGCTATCATAAGAAAATATCAGATGTTACCTCACACTTTGAGCGATGATGGGATGGATGGAATGAGTTTCATATTTAAAGCATGATGATGTGGGTCAGGTTAGGTCGAGTTTGGACAGAATTTTGTCAAGCTTAGTTTGTGTTCAGGCTCAAAACACTATATTGGATGCTTTTAGTTTTATGTGTTCAAATATTGACTTTTTTCTTTTATACATGTATGTTTAAATATAGACATTTTTTTCACTCAAGTATTTTTCTCTGATTTTGACACAATATCTATACTTTCACTTAAGTACAGTTTCTCTGAATCTCTCCCTCACTCCCTCTGTTTTTCTGTCTCTCTCTCCCCACAGTTCCAGAGGCCTAATGACTTCTCCCCTCCCTTCCGCTTTGGAACAGTCCCTAATGGCAGTACAGAGAGGAATATCCGCAATAACTATAAAGAAATGCATTCCTACATGGTTAAATTTCACCAGCGCAACGTGGATGAAGCTTTACAAAGCCTGAAGGCCGGGTCAGGACCAACACACACTCGCACACTTTCGCGCAAACACAGAATGGATCAGGATGAACACACACAGTCTCACATACACACATACAGACACATGCACACACACTTCCAGCCCTGTGCGAACAGTTGCCCACAGCATAAAGAGGCTGATACTGGTGGTGTGAGTACTGGGCTGCTGCTGTTTAGTTTTTGCCAGGAGGGAGATTCACTGGGCCACAAACACCATGCAGCAACCAAATTAGCAAATAACATGCAAATGGGAAACAGACTGCAGAGCTTTTTCTTCATTTTACTCTCTGGTTGTATATGTGTGTTACCCCTTGAAAGTTGAGATTACAGTCATTGTACTGTGTTATTTAATGCAATTATAAAGTTCAGAATTAAACTAACGAAATAAGTAATTAAATCTCCTCTTATATTGACAAACACACATGGAGTATAGAATCCACAGATACTTTCCACAGAACTTCACCACTTGTTTCAAGTATTTCAGTAAGTTTAAATTCTAAGTGTATGTATGTGGGTCAATTTTTCAGGCTCATAACTGCATAATATACATATTAGTTTATAGTAGTTACTGAATACTTTATAGTAGGTGCTAACTAATTAATAGTTGTAATGAATAATAAAGAATTACTTTAACTTAGTATTAATAATATTTGCCAAGCCTTAAGGGATTAAACAAAATGGTAAAATAAACATTTGAAGGCATATGTGTCTTTGGTGACCTAGGAGAAATAACTGTAGTTGGCATTGGCTCTGTGTTTATCTCTCAGAAAGCTGGATGCATTTATCTATGATGCCGCTGTGCTCAACTACATGGCTGGAAGGGATGAAGGCTGTAAGCTTGTGACGATCGGCTCAGGGAAAGTTTTCGCCTCCACTGGCTACGGCATCGCCATTCAAAAAGATTCAGGATGGAAAAGACATGTTGACCTGGCTATCCTACAACTCTTTGGAGACGGTACACACACACAAATATATACACTTGTGTTTTTGTACTGTTTCAGGACGTGGGGTCATATGTATTGTCTGTCTGTCTATCTATCTGTCTATCTATCTATCTATCTATCTATCTATCTATCTATCTATCTGTCTACCTATCTGTCTCTCTCTCTCTCTCTCTCTCTCTATATATATATATATATATATATAAAAGAATGTTTCATTTGTTGAACTAAAAGGGTAAAATAATTTCTTTTTGGTTTGTTAAGGTTAAGGTTAAAATTAGTACATATATATATATATATATATATATATAAAGAGAGAGAGAGAGAGAGAGAGAGAGAGAGAGAGAGAGCAGGTATTATTAGGGTGGTGGATCATTCTCAGCACTGCAGTGACACTGATTTGGTGGTGTGAGTTGCAGTGAGTTGCAGTGAATTAGACACAGCAGCGTCCAAATAATACCTGTTATATGGGGGTCCTGAACAAAAAACAGGTTAAAAGAGGGTTAACAAAGTATGCAGAGAAACAGATGGCCTACAGTCTGTAATTGTAGAACTACAAAGTGCACCTATATGGTAATTGGAGCTGATAACATGGACAGTTGGAGCTGAAGTTGCTTGGAATAATGTCTTTACATTAGCTTACATTAAAAGAAAAGGACATTTTGCCTTCTTCTCCAAAATTTTACAGAAGAAGGAAAAATGTTATTTGCTTTTAATGTAAGCTAATGTAAAGACATTTTATTCCAAGCAACTTCAAAACATTTCTATTTCTCTAATAATTTCACACATAAAGGACAGCTGCTGTGTTTAAATAAAGTAGAAAAATAAAAATATATAAATGTATGTGTGTGTGTGGGGTGTGTGTGTGTATATATTTATATGTAACAATCATATTGCCCATATGTATTATATGTATATGTAAGTACCTACATGTAATAACAATATGCTCCTTATTTATTGTATATGACTGTTGGAGCGAAACCTCATATCTCTAAAGTAGTACACTTTCGGAGAGAATTTTTTTTTCTTGTTTAATTTGATGTTTAAATGTATATTAATTTAACAAGATATTTTTTAAAGTAATTTTGGATAATTTCTATTGGTCCATTCATCATGAGAAAGGCAGCTGGTGTTTTCAAACATGTACCATTTGTATTATATTTGTCATCAATGTCAGAACAAAACCTTGTACATTTTTGTGACTTGTACATTTTTTTTACATAAATAGATCCTAGACTCAGAATAAAATCTTGTTACGTTAGCCTACACTGAAAGTTAAAACCATTTTTTCCTTCTCCTATAAAGCATTTTTTAGTGATATGAGATTTTGTTCCAACAATGATATGTAACTACCTATAGGTAATATAATTTTTATATGTACTAATTTTAACCTTAACGAACCAAAAAGAAATTATTTTACCCTTTTAGTTCAACAAATTAAACATTCTTCTGTTAGTTTAGCCCTGGTTTTCTCTGATTTTCCTACAGTCTGGTGTTTTTTTAGTTGAAAATATATGAAAACAAACACACACACACACACACACACACACACACACACACACACACATACAGCTCAGACTCTACTGCAGTGGCCTACATTGCGCTTGTATATTAAAGTTCATTTATGGAGCTGGAGACGTTGCAAACTTCAAGGAACAATCTTTGTTGTATTAAAATTTATTTCTTTAGCTGTGTGAAGTTTCTGGTGTGTGTATATGTTTGAGGAGTGCTTTAACTCTTCAGGCTAAAGGTTTGGAAGCAACACCATCTTTGTGAAAAAAGTGTTTAGAAAAAATCTGTTTAGATATGTGGTGTGCATGTGTGTATTTGAATCAATCCTGTATGTTCAAGTGGGTCAGTGTGTGTGTGTGTGTGTGTGTCTCTCTCTGGATTTCAATGTCATTTTAGCACAGTAAAGCACACATACACACACACAGAACTGTGGCCCAGATACTGAAACTGATATAGCAGCACATCAACTCCCACACCTCACACACACACACACATACAGACATGGCACAGGATGATAGAACAGAGAGAAAAAGGGAATTTACTGAACTGGTTTTAACTACTTTTCAAATCACTAAAACAACATCAGAAATATTAAACACATAATTATGTCACTTTTCTCTTTTTCCTTCTTTTCTCTTCCCTTCCCTTGTTTCCTTTTACTTTTTATTTATTCTTTTCTTTTTCTGTTCTTTTTCCTCATTTCATGTCCTCTTTTTATTTCTTTTTCCTTTCTTTTCCTTATTTTCATTTTGTCTTTGGTTTTCTTTTCCTTTCTTTTTTTTAAATTTTCTTTTTCAATTCCTTTCATTTTTTCTTTTCTGTTTGTTTCCTTTTTTCGTCCTTTACTTTTCCATTTCTTTTCTGTTCCTTTATCTTATCTTTATCCTATCCCTAACTATTACACATACACACATTGTTCATTTACTTCACTTTCTTTTCCTTTTTTATTCTTTTACTCTCCTTTATTTTCCTTTCTTTCTTTTTCTCTTGTTTTTTATTTCTCCTTTTTTTGCTTTTCTTATTTTTCCTTTCCTTTCCTTTCCTTTCCTTACATTTTCTCCTACTCCTTAAAATTTCTTTGTTTTATTTCCTCTTCTTATTCTTTATTTTCTTGTCTTTTATTTTCTTTTCTATTGCTTTAATTTTTCTCCTTCTCTCGCTCTTCATTTCCATTTCTTTTTAGTTTTCTCTTGTTTTTATTTCTTCTTTTTTGCTTTTCTTCTTTTTCCTTTCCTTTCCTTTCCTTACTTTTTCTCCTACTCCTTAAAATTTCTCTTTGTTTTATTTCCTCTTCTTATTATTTATTTTCTTGTCTTTTATTTTCTTTTCTATTCCTTTAATTTTTCTCCTTCTCTCCTTTTCCCTTTTCCCATTTCTCGAGTCCTTTCCTTTCCTTTCCTTTCCTTTCCTTTCTTTTTCTCCTACTCCTTAAAATTTCTCTGTTTTATTTCCTCTTCTTATTCTTTATTTTTTTTCTTTCCCTTCTTCCTCTAAGTTGCTGCTCATAGATGCTACATCACAGCCACATATGCTCCTGCCTTACATCTTCCTCTGTGTGTATGTGTCTGTGATTCTCCTAGGTGAGATGGAGGAACTGGAGGCCTTGTGGCTAACAGGAATCTGCCACCATGAGAAGAATGAGGTAATGAGCAGCCAGCTGGATGTGGATAACATGGCTGGAGTTTTCTACATGCTGGGGGCGGCCATGGCCCTGTCCCTCATCACCTTCATTGCTGAGCATCTCTTCTACTGGCAGCTGCGCTTCTGCTTCATGGGAGTATGTTCTGGAAAACCAGGACTGACATTCACTATCAGCAGGGTGAGACACACACACACTTCCACACACTATATACTCACATATACTGTGTTTTTCACAGGTTGTTAACTGTAGTGTGCAACGTGTGACAGCATCTGCATTATTCATTGATTGTCGTGTGTATTGTTTCATAGCATGTGTCTCTCAGCTTGTGAATGAGGCAGCATGTTTTGTAGTGTGGGTATGAGTGTGTGTATTGTATGGTTTGGGAGTTCAGTGCTGTAGGATTTGGTAGTTCAGTGCTCAAGGGTTAGGGAGTTCAGTGCTGTAGGGTTTGGGAGTTCAGTGCTTTAGGCTTTGGGATTTCAGTGTTGTAGGCTTTGGGGGTTCAGTGCTCTAGAGCAGGGGTTCCCAGCTGTAGGGTTTCAGTGCTGTAGGGTTTCAGGGTTCAGTACTATAGGTTTTGGGGTTTAATGCTGTGGGGTTAGGAGTTCAGTGCTGTAGGTTTTGGGAGTTCAGTGCTGTAGGTTTGGGGGTTTAATGATGTGGGGTTTGGGGGTGCATTGCTGTAGGGTTTGGGAAGTCAGTGCTGTAGAGTTTCATGGTGCAGTACTGTAGGGTTTGGGAGGGACAGTGCTGTAGGGTTTGGGAGTTCAGTGCTGTAGGGTTTCAGGGTTTAGTGTTGTAGGGTTTCAGGGTTCAGTACTGTGGGGTTTGGGGGTTTAATGCTGTGGGGTTTTGGTGTGCATTGCTGTACGGTTTGGGAGTTCAGTGCTGTAGGGTTTCAGGGTTTAGTGTTGTAGGGTTTCAGGGTTCAGTACTGTGGGGTTTGGGGGTTTAATGCTGTGGGGTTTTGGTGTGCATTGCTGTACGGTTTGGGAGTTCAGTGCTGTAGGGTTTGGCAGTTCAGTGCTAGAGGGTTTGGGAGTCTAGTGCTGTAGGGTTTGGGAGTTCAGTACTGTGGGTTTTAGAATTTTAGTGCTGTAGGGTTTGGAAGTTCAGTACTGTAGGCTTTGGGGATTCAGTGCTGTAAGGTAAGGGAGATTAGCGCTGTAGAGTTTGGGGATTCAGTGCTATAGGGTATGGGAGATTAGTGCTGTAGGGTTTGGGGATTCAGTGCTGTGGGGTTTGGGAGTTCAGTGTTGCATGGTTGTAGACGTCAGTGCTATAGGGTTTGAGGTTGCATTGCTTTAGGCTTTGGGATTTCAGTGCTGTAGGGTTTGGGGGTTCAGTGCTCTAGAGCAGGGGTTCCCAGCCTTTTGCAACTCTTAGCCCACACAAACAATGACCAAAGCTTCTGCAGTCCACGACAGGATTTAACCGAGCAGGTGAATTTTTCTGAATCACCTAAAGAGCTGATCTAGTTTGGCTGCTACTGAGTGCTGGATGTAAGGCTGAAGAGAGGAAAGCTAAAAACGTTGTTATGGCTAACTTTGACAGTTTTAGATACATATTTACTGTGTTTAGTCTCCATGTGATGTTGTAAATTGTTGGATTTCAAAGCTTTCCTTTTAAAAGAACTTTTTTAACCGTTTATCCACAATTAATGAGTTCCAAACAATTGAAAAGTGAAACAGTTTACCTTGACTTGCACTGAAATTATAAACTTTAACCAGCTACTATTTTGCCAGAACAATGAATGAGCTCAATATATGTTTTATTTTTGCAAATAATCAATGTCATTTTTAAAATTGCTTTTGATTGAATGTCTATATTCTAACATTTTTTTACGGTAAAACAAACAACTGATAGCCAACAGGCCACTACCAGTACCATCACAGCCCACAGGGTGGTCACGGCCAACAGGCTGAAAACCACGGGACCTCTAGAGTTTGGGTGTTCTGCTGTAGGATTTGGTGGTTTAGTACTGTAGAGTTTGAAAGTTCAGTGTCGTAGAATTTGGGTTCAGTTCTGTAGGGTTTGGAGATTCAATGTAGATTTCGGGGGTTCAATACTACAGGTTTTGAGGTTCATTGGTGCTGGTTTGAAGGGACAGTGCTCTTGGTTTCGGGGGTTTGGTGCTGCAGGATTTGGGAGTTTAGTGCTGTAGCATTTGGGGGGTCAGTTCTGCCGTGTTGGGGGTTCAGTGCTGTAGGCTTTACGATTCAGTGCTATTAGGCTTTGGCGTTCAGCACTGTTGGGTTTGGGGGTGCATTGCAGTAAGGTTTGGGAGTTCAGTGCTATTAGGCTTTGGCGTTCAGCGCTTCATATTTCTTGTAGGGATGGTAATCTCTAGGCATCTCACGATTCGATTCAGTTATGATTCAGAGGGCTGCGATGCGATTATAAAACGATTATCGATGCATCTCGATGCATCTTTTTTTTTCTATACATGATTTCTATTTTCTTACTGTCTGAGGACTTGGTACTGGTACTTGGACTGGTAGTTTTAAAGCAAAGTATTTGTAATGATCCATAATGCATTTACATCCAATATCTTTTATTAATTTTACAAATGGAAGTGATGTGGCAAGTGAACTAGAAGGCTCTCATTAACTGCTCTTGTTTGGAGACGCTGCTGCCATTCATCTGTGATAAAATGTGCTGTTACGGTGAAATAAGATCCAGTGGTAAAGGATGACCACGCAGCACATTATATATTCTTTAGTGATTTCATAACTTCGGGTTTGGTCTTGTGGTGGGGGGGGCAACGTAGCAACAAGGTTTCGCCTGGCTAGTAGCGAACGAAAAAGGAAAAGAGAAAGACAGACGAACATTTGGGGATGAACAGACTTATTCGCATTTATAAGCAGCGCATTTGGTTTCCTGGTATGTTAAATCTGCAAGGAGAGACTGTCAAACACTAACTGAAAAGTTGCGAAGATAAAGTCGCTTCTCTTTCCAATTTTCCCGTTCCACCTTAAATTGTGCTGGTTTTACATTCGGTGCCTCAGTCAGAATTTAAGGTGGAATGGTAAAGTTCATCAAGAAGCTGGCGAGTGAGAAGTGACTTCAGCCTCGTAAAACGCTGAGAGACATTTTACAAGAAGCTATTCAACTTTTGAGGAAAAGTTTTCTGGTTGGAAGAAAAGCAGCTATAGTTGAAGCTTAAAGCAGAGCAAAGTAAGTCCGCGTTTTCGTTTATATTTTTTAGTCTATACTAGGACATTATCACATACTGAGACATACTGGACTAATGTTGTGGCTCCCAAGGTGGTCTGATTTTTGTTGAAAGGACAAAATGGCTCTTCTTAACATTTGGGTTGTGACTCCTGACCTAACCTGGCTTTTAATGCAGAGGTTGCCGGTCGGATTTCTCACTCATCCAGTTGTGGTTTTGTTATGTGCCGCCACAGACTGTCCGGGCACTGCACTTACCCACTTCCAAGTTCCGCCATTCACTGTGCAATACTCACTACAATACATACATTTCTACATTTCTAAATTTAAATTTAATACTTTGTATATTTTTCTTGTAATTTTTGTACATATACATATATCTTTATATTTTTATTGTTTGTTCTATTTTATATATTGTTTGTATATTTCCTGCTGCTCTGTCTTCTGTGCTGCTGTAACACCGCAAATTTCCCCGTTGTGGGATTAATAAAGGATTATCTTATCTTATCTTATCTTCTATTCCGTCAACATTACGTTATAAATTAAATATTTAGAAAATCGATTTTTGACATTTGTGAATCGATTCAGAATCGTCCATGTCTGCATCGCGATGCATCTAAGAAGCGATTTTTTCGCGTACCCCTAATTTCATGAAAAACTACCAGGGGTGTTACTATACTTAATTATTATTTTGGAAGATTTGTATTTTACCCAAGTATTGCTGAAATTAATTACTTGTACTTTTACTCAATTACATTTCCAGGAAAAAGACATACATTTTACTTTTTACATTATCATTTAGATCTTCAAAGTCCAAGTTATTCACCATGAGAAATGGCCCTGAGATGCTCTCTTTTTTCTCTTGCCAGTTCAGATTAGAATTTATTTTTTTAATAAAACATCCAACCAAATTCATATCAGTGTAAAATAATACTCCCCATAACTATGCAGATTTAATAATAGGTAAGGATTAGTACCACATATTAGTCACCGCATAACACCAATGCATCGCATACCACGAAAAAACAAAATTAAAACATTTACTTTTTAATTTTATATACTTCTAAATGTATATTTAAATGTCTATAGATTTTGACTTTCTCTCAAATCTAATTTTGGCCCCTTACACTTTAAACTGAGTAAGATTTTGACTGAATACCCATACTTTCACTTTAGTAAAGCCTTTCTCTACTTTTTACACCCCTGTACATTATAATAAACGTGTGTTTCCAAGAATAAATTTTTCATGTTGATTTCTAGTATGTTTCAGTCTATAAGTCAATTTACTTTCACACTTTCAGTTATCTTACTAAATTAATGTTACTTGGCTGTGCCACAGAGAATTCTGGGCTCAAAATGTTCTGTTCAGTCTTATGCGTATTTACCAAAATTCATTAAAATGGCACGTGCCATTGTTATCATCAACTATGATGAAGACGGACAAACAACCACAGAAAAATTGAAGATTGGACAAGTTCAAGAGTCCCTTTTTTCTAACCAAAACATAACAATAAAATAAGAGTATTACTACAATAACTGCAGAGACTAATGACATTATAAAATAAAAATTGAACCGCCTCTGGCCAGGGACAACTGATGAAAGCAATTTCCAGTAACTTTGGCTCCTTTACAGTTCTGTTGATACTGTTTGTTAATGTACACTGTCCTTGACAAATTAATCAGTAAATAAACTTAATATTACAGACATATTTTTTAATTCCCAGAATTCAATAGGCCATCTATGAAAGCCAAGAATGCCCTAAGGGTGGCTGTCTGTCTTTTTCTAAATTTTTTTGACAAATATTTAAGTGAGGGTGCTCCTGATCAGATACTTTGCTATTTGCACGGCAGCGATGCCACAAAACAAAACTTAAGGAATCACTATAATAATTACTATTCTCTAAATAAAAATATAACCATGAGACTAGAGATTTATTTTTGCCACTCAATAGTTTGTTGCTCCTCTCCTCCTATTGCCTTGCTTTGTTTGCTTCAAATAAGGACATTTGCCCAACAAGTGGCCACTGATAAACTCGGTGTGAATTAGTGGTATGTTTGTTAAGAAAGACTTGTGTGGCCAAACAATAGAGTGTTATTCACAATCAATAATCACAAGCTCTGATATTTAGTCATTTAAATCTGTATGGATTAGCATCTGCTGGAATTGGAGCTGGCAGCAATTTTAATTATCTTTGTAGTTTAGTATGGAGTTTGTATTGTGGAAATATGAAAGAATTGTGATCTGTGATTTGTAGATTTACACATGCACTGTTTTAAAGGGGTGGCCTGGGTGGCCAGTGCTGTACCTGAAGTCTGATTGGCCACCCCAAAATGTCTGCCACATCATTGGCTTCTGCCTCGCTGTGGGGCAGGTGTTTGTGCCTTTAAGAGGAAGGACTGCATCTCTTCTGTGTAGCTTTTCCTTTAAGTGGAGAGTTAATTGGCTATCGGTGAGTTGTGGAACAACTGTCCAACCTTTCTCCACCCCTCATTCAGTTTACATAGGTTTGTTTCTCAGCTCTCTGTGATTAAATTGATATTGTGCTGCTGCACCACTGTTAGAATGGTAACACCATGCCTGAGCTGTAAGAGACTAACAGCTACAACAGTGTCTACAAATCACAGTTTATAGATACAAAATGTTTTGGCTTTAATCTGACGCCATATTTATGCAACGATGAACATATGTGTGGCAGATGTTTTCCATTACTACCACCACCCTGGTTGCTTGCCTTCATAGAAACACGTTTTCTAGCAGGATCATCAGCGGCAAGTGAGTGCCATGCCTCCATTATTAAATCACACCTCCAGTAACAGATATATGACACTGTTAGTATTTCATACTCTCTCTGTCCCTCTGTAACTCATCATTTCTCTCACTTTTTTTCTTACTATTTTTGCCTTCACTTGCTCATTGTATACTATTTCTCATGCACTTATAAAGTCATAATTAAGTTGTAAAACCATACATATTCAGCTAATGGTTACAGATGTAAACAAAGGTCTGTGGTCAACTTGGTAACTATTAATGGTACATTAATAGTTACATTAAATTGCATTTAAAAATGACAGATTTATCTACCACTGACCACTGAAACTATCATTTCAGTCTACTATGACAAAAAGTTTAATAGTCAGTAACAGTTTAGAAACTCCAACATAAAAATAGTTTCCTAAGCTCCCACTTGAATTTATCACTTATGGTGGCATGGGTATCGATAACTGGTTCCTGACTGGCCTGTACCAAAATATTAATAAGCTCCTTGACAAACGGAGCTGCTATCGGTATTTATGTAATATTAATTCATTCTACCATTGCTGGCCTTTTCATATAGTTGGTGCTAGATTGGATCAGTGGGAGGAGCGCTCTGCTCCATGTGACGAAAGCATTTGTATGCCTCTGATTGGCTACCCCTAACCTTTGTCACTCCGTGCACTCCGGTCATGGCTGAAAAGGTAAAACATTCGAAAGTGTGGGCTCACTTTACTACATTTAATGAACATGGAGCTAAAACGGTATGCAAAATGGCAGTTGCATGTAAAGAAGATAACACCACCAACCTCATGAAACATTTACGAATACAACATTCTATAAATCTGAAGCAGTGCAGCAAACCGGCCGCTGCACCAACATCCTCAGTGCAGCCTGCCGGCTCCGATGCTGATGGGATTTGCCGAACTAAAAATGCGACTGTCTCGACCTTGTCAAGTCAAGGTAGCACTCGTTACCATTATATAAATAAGTCTGTATTCATTAACACAGTACAACGCTGAAATTGGCTTCCCATTCACCAGCTTCATGTTCGAATTTTCCCATTTCATCTTAAATGGTGCAGCTGTTATTATCATAACGCCTGTGCTGACAACCAGGGGTAACTAATTTTGTATTGCTTATGGTTTTTTAAATTTATATAATGGTTATATAAATTAATATATAATGTCCTCTTTTTCAGACCCCACACTACCTTCAGTATGTAATTTAAAAGAAGGCATAAAAAAATAAATAAATAAAATATTGGTCAGTAATCAGTATCAAAATCAAGGTGTTAGTACCAGGTAAACGCAGAAAACATTTTAACTTGTTATTAACTAGTAAAAATAACTGTTGAATCTTTTCACAACTTTTCATGTCATGTTTTTATTTTTTTACACCAAACTATGGGGAGAAGTATCGATAAGAATATCTGTAATTATTGGGATCAATAAGCAGTATCATTATTGATATCAGTATCAATAAAATCCTAATGATACCCATCTCTACCTATAGGGATGCTTATGTGCAACCTTTTTTCCGAAGGCCTCATGTGTCCGTGATCCTCTATCTTTTTCTCTGTGTTTCAGGAGGTATACAGCTGCATCCATGGTGTTGAGATTGAGGACAAGAGTTCAGCGATGAATTCTCCCTCAGCCACCATGAACAACACCCACTCCAACATTCTGCGACTGTTGCGCACAGCCAAGAACATGGCATCCCTGTCTGGGGTCAATGGCTCACCCCACAGCGCCCTGGACTTCATCCGCCGTGAGTCGTCTGTCTACGACATCAGTGAGCACCGCCGCAGCCTGGCAGGACACTCGGACTGCAAGGCCCCCTACCTGCCGGACGACAACATGTTCAGCGACTACATCAATGAGGTGGAGCGCACCTTTGGCAACCTGCACCTTAAGGACAGTAATCTGTACCAGGAACATTACCTGCACCACCACACAGGATCAGCCCTGGGACTGTCTGGTCCAACTGTCCCCCGTCCTCCCAGCCTGGGGTCAAGCAGCTCCTTGGAAGGTGGCATGTTCGACTGTGACAGTTTGGGTGGTGGGGTGGCACCAATCTTCACCACCCAGCCCTGCTCTGCCCTTACTCACCGGAATATGAGCAAGTTTGACCTGCTGCAAGCCCAGACTCCACCATCAGGCCAGGGCTTCAAGCAAGGATTAGCTGATTTGTATGGAAAGTTCTCGTTTAAGGGCGGAGCCTCCAGCTCAGGTTACATCCCAACGTGTCATGACCGCTACTGCAGTGGTGCAGATGATGTGTCAGACATTTCCACACACACCGTCACCTATGGCAATCTGGAAGGCAACAGCAAGAAGCGCAAGCAGTACCGAGATAGCCTGAAGAAGAGGCCTGCATCTGCCAAGTCCCGCCGTGAGCTTGTCCGGGAAATGGACCACATTGAGATGCGACGAAGACCGCATCACAATCACCACCATTACCATGGAAAACGCTCCTCGTCCCCACCCCTACGAGGAGGAGGTTCTTCCTCATTCCTGTACCAAGGCAAGGAGGAGAGTCTGCGAGACTTCTACTTGGACCAGTTCCGGCCCAAAGAGGGTGTGCCCCAGTGGGAGCATGTGGACCTGACAGACGGGCCAAGTGGGGGTGGACCTGGGGTTGGAGGTGGAGCCAATTGCTCCAGCCTGGTGCCAGTGGATGACTTCTTGAAGAGCAAACCCTCAAAGGCGGAGAGTAAAGGCGGAGGTGGGGAGTGGGAATGCCGAAATTGCAGAGCTAGCAGTGCAGGAAGCAAACGCATGGCATTGCATGCTGGGGGTGGTGGCTATAGTGGTGGAGGGGGTGGGGTCACTACCTGTGGCGCATCTGGAGGTGGGCTGGGGGGTGGGGCCAGTCGGCCCAGCTCAGCAACATGTATGAGGTGCGAGGCATGCAAAAAGTCTGGCAACCTGTATGACATCAGTGAGGACAGCAACCACCTATTGGACCAGCTGGTGGGGGGGCGAGGCCAGACACCATCACAGCGGCGGCGGGCTTTCAGCGGGAAGCCTCTGCGGAGACAGCATTCGTATGACACTTTCATGGACTTGCAGAGGGAAGAAGGGGTGGGGATTGGGCTGGGTGGTGGGGATGTCATGGGCGGAGCTTTACCGCCACCCCCTCGCAGTGTGAGTCTGAAGGAGAAAGAGAGATACCTGGAGGGCTCCAGCCCTTTTGCACACATGTTTGACCACCAGGTTGCGACAGATCAGGATTTCTACAGCCCTGGTGACCGGGGCAAAGGTTCGGCACCCCACTTCGGCCTTTTCCAAGGGGGTGACATTGGGCCTCACCGGCGTTCCATGGGAGAGAGAGACCTTCGAGAGAGAGGCCTAGCTGAGGGACCTGCCTACTCTCTCTCCAAGTCTCTCTACCCAGACCGCACCAACCACAACCCATTCATCCCCACTTTCGGGGATGACCAGTGCCTGCTGCATGGAGCCAAGAGCTACTACATGAAGAAGCAGCAGCAGCAGCTCTCCTCCTTCCTCCCCTCCTCTTGCTTCCCCAACCAGCATTCGGGCAGCAAGCTGGGCCTTGGGCCGCCCAGACCCTTCAATGGCACGAATGGCCATGTGTACGAGAAACTCTCCAGCATTGAGTCAGATGTTTGAGAGGGAGGGACGGAGGGAAGGAGGGATGGAGGGAGGGAGGGAGGAGGATCAATGGAGTGGAGATAAAGTGTTAGAAAAGGTATAAATCTGATGATGAGGAGAGGAGAAAGTGGAGATCAATTTCAGCTGACCAATCCTAACCTAGCTACAGTATCTGCGTATCTCTGCATTAGTCAGATCACAGTCTCACAGAAGCCTCACACCACTGACTGTGAAACTCACGATTTGTTCCACAGCCCGCAGAGTGCTAAAGAGGAAGTGGAGAGATGGAGAGGTTAGACAACAGGCCATATGGGCAAGTGTCTCAGAGAGAGAGAGAGAGAGAGAAAGAACTAGAGAGGAGTGCAGATAAGAGTTTTGCCAACCCTCCCCAAAAGCTTTTTCTCTTTCTCTCTGTCCTTTCCTATCTCTCCTCACGCTCAGATCCTTTCTCCTCTCCTTTTCTCCTTCTTTTGTCTCCTTGACTTACTGTACAATGAAGTAACAATCATGAAAGAGAATACAAAATTCTGATGCTAACAGGGTAATAATCAATAACGCTACCAATAACATTGTGATCGCAGATCTGGTACTAGTATTGATATTGCTAATGCTGGTTAAGGCTGGTTTTGGCATTTTGCCATGTTATCTGGCAGTTTGGCAGTAGGCCTGCTTCCAGATCAACACCACAGGATCTTTCATTTATGTCTTTATCATTTCGAGACACTGTCGTGGACTGCCTCTTGTGGCTCCAGAGTGAACTGAAATAGAGGTTTTAAACTGTGCTGATAAGAATGATGGAATAAGACAAATTCTAGGGTGGTCCATCAGCTTGGGTTGACTCATCCCACACACGCATACGCATGTACATGATTTGATATCATTTGCAAAACGTAATTGTTTCCGCTGCTGATGTGGCCCATTTCTGCAAATTTTTACCTTTTTCTTACTTGCAGAACATTCGTATCACTTTTTTCCAAAGCGGTTTGGCCTTCAAGGGTGTGATTATCAGAATAAAGGCCTCAGTATACTTCTGGCAAAGAAGACATCCACCTGACAAACAATATTTAGTAATCACAGAGAAAACAAACAACCACAGTTGCGCACATGGCAGCTGGGCGAACTCTGTGGACAAACATGCTATGTGACAATGCCTGTGATTGGTTGGTTCAAATGCTAGTAAAACCTCAGAGAGTATGAAAGCTTGTAAGCTCATGGAGGTGGTTATGGCTTAGTGTAAATTTTGCAAGTTCCGTTTCACTCAAAGTATACCGAGGCCTGAGGAAGAAAAGACAGAACGAAAAGGTCAGTATCAGCACTTCTGGTGTAAATAACACACTCTACTTTCTACACTTGCATACACTTCACACACACATGATCTTCTTACAGTCTGATATACAGGATGGACCTTTACTATATCTTTTACAAAATTTAACAAATAACCAAAATAAGGACAAAAACAAAAAAAAAACCTCAAAAACAAAAATATGCAAACTGTAGTTAAGACAAAAGTATTACTCATTGTAAGTGATATAATAAACAGTAGTTTCTTTGCTTTTAAATTCATGTTTATTACTTGATAGTTAAGAAGCAGACTGGTTAAGAGTGTTTTTTTGCTTACTTTCACTAAGACGCCGCAGCCCGTGAGTGTTGGCTTCTGTGTTTTGAAACTTCCATAAGAAAGTATTGTTAAGTTTTAGGGCTCCTAAATAAGTTTCCCTTAAAATTGCGTTGTAATTTTCGTTACTTTTTACAGCAGGTTTTCAAGCTTTTGATTACGTATGCCACAGTGTGGATCATCACCGATCATCTAGAAACAGTCTTACATGCACAATGCGTTCTCTCATCGACCCACACACACTCTGCTTGGTGTGAGCTTCTGCTTTCGAAAAAGGCCGCACTTCCTTAGGAGTCGCTGCTTCTGTTTGGTTTGAAGTTAATTAGTACAGTTACATACATTGTGCTTGTGTTGCAAAGCAGCAGGTGTCCAGCCTCTGGCAGAAAGGCTGCTGCTACTGCTGTGGAGTCAGCCTCATTCACACCGTCAAGCTTTACTTGAACCTGAGGAGTCTCATTCTCATGCTAATGTACTGTATGAAGAAGGGCCTAGCACTTGAGGAATGTTCGACTCGCACATACATGCACATGCATACACACACACCGTTTTCTCCTTTGTGTGAGGGTGCGCGTGTGTGTGGTGGTGCAATTATGTGACTACTTTCACTGTGTTTTTGCCTCTGAATCATTTAGTAATCACTGTCCACTCTGGATGAACTAATCAAGAGTTAGTTATCCATGCTTTTTCCAAAGTATTTCTTCTTAATGTCCTTTTGATTCAAATCTTTACTATCTATATGTATCAGTAGTACTTGTTGGTTAAGCCTTTTTGCATTTCATTTGTGTGTTAGCATGTGTTTGACCATTTTACACAGTTTCTGGATTGCAATAAGCAGTGAGCAGTGTTTGCGTGTGTAAAGCTGAGAGTGACTTGGTCAGTTGTGGATACCACACTAGATCTCTCCCATATAGCTATCTGCCTATAGCAGCTCCTCAAACCCACCAGCAAAGGCTACGAGCTCCTGCACACTGAGCCGAGCTGTTCCCGCTATCAGAGATTTCTAAAGTTTTAGAAAGTATAGTGGTCAAGCATATGTGTTTGTGAGACATATTTGGGCTGTGGAGTCTAGGCTGCTTGCTAGAGTGTCTACCTTGTAGTCTGGGTTGGAACACTCATGTTAGGATTAGTGTTGGGCATGGGTGTTGAGGGCTTTGGGATGAGATTAGGATGTTAGCTCCAGTTAGCTTAGCACAAACTGCAGCACCCTCAGCTTAAAGCACCATGGCAAGGGTTAGGGTTTTTGCTGTTGGGGTTGGCAGATGTTTGTGTTAGACATTGGTGTTGGGCTGGGGTTCAGACATTAACTTTGTCGCCTTACCTCAACCTAAACTACAACGATCTCAGCTTAATGAACCATCTGTGGTTGGGAGTCAATCCTAGAAAGAGTTGATTCCACTTTTGAGAGTAAACTCCGAAGCTTTGGCCTTAATTTAACGCAGCTTTTCTGCATTAATTGGTCATGAAATTTGATTTTTTTTTCTTCATCTAAGTCACAAGTATAGACAAACACAATGTTCTAGAGCTAATAACACACAAAAAGTTATAATCTTTCATGTTTTATTGTGGACACCAATTAAAACATTCACAGTGCTGATGGAAGAAGTATGTGAACCTTTGGACTTAAAAAATGGGTGAACCTTCTCTGGCAGCAGTAACCTTAAGTAAGCACCTCTGATAGCTGTAAATCAGACCTGCACAGGGGTGCTGTATGGGGGGGTGGGGGTGGGATGATTCTAAGGACCTGAGACTGACAGGGGCCCTAAAAATTATTAGAACATTAGGTATTTTTTAATATTAAATTATTGTCCTATCATCATTAATAGAATATTGAATTTACTATGTACTTCTTTTCTTTTTCTTTTCTTGTTTTTGGTAAGAAGTAAACATCCAGAGAGCCTCTATGTTTCCTGCCCCCCCCCCACCTCCATATACATGAAATGGTTAAGTCCTGCCCCCCAAACCAGGTATGTATGGTACTTGCTAGCAGTGACTTGCGAGTGAGGTGTGCCGGTGGAGCACACCTCACTTTCTAAAGAAAAATTTCCAAAAACAAAAAGAAAGACAGGAGGCAAACATTTAGCAAGCTATTTATACTAAATCAGTTGTCCCGGCCCCTGCCTGCTGCCAGGCACAACAGACACAACTTCAGGCTCAGATTAAGGCCAGGGCATATTTTAGGATGCCTTTATACATACATTCAGGTGTTCACACATTTTTTCTTGCACTGTGCTTGGACAAAGTGGATAAATGAGTTAATGTAAAATTTGTTATAAAAAGTGGCTTACAATCCTTAGAATATGTTTTTACATCTAAGGTAATTTTACATGGTCTTGCTAGTTACGCTGCAGCACTTTTGCGCAGTAGCAGCCACTCACGCACAGGGGGCAGATTTTGCTGATTTTCTCCAGCAGAATGCCAATAGAATAATGTACAAAATACACATTTTTCACTCACAAAAACTGAAAACTCAGAAACATTTAACTTTGCTGGCCGTAACAAAGACAACTTTGTTTTTCTGTTAAAGTATCAGTGTTTGTTTACATATGAGCCTTCTTGGTAATTTTGTGGGAATTGCACTAGCCCTCATGGAGGTAAATTGCTACTTCAGTCTTACTGCCTTTTGACTCCAGCTTTTGTTCACACTTAACCACTTCCCGTCATATTCCAGTGTGAAAGTGCATATGTAATAGGGGCTTACATCTTGATTTTTGGAATCAAGAATTTAAAAAAAAATCACTGTGTAGAACTGACTCTCGGAATCTACTCTGTCCACTTGGAATTGGAATAGGAGTCGACTTTAGACTTTCTGGAATCAAACAGCCCTTGCACCACGCCAAGGGTTAGGGTTTGTGTTGAGGGTTGGTGTAGGGGGTAATGTTAGGATTTGATGTGGGGAATTGGGTTTTGGGTAAAGGTTAATGCATTTCCTTTACCTTAGTATAAACTGTAACACTCTCAGCTTAACGCACCATTTAGCAGCTAAACATGCATTCGCTCTCACTGCATATCTATACGCTTAATTACATCATTTTACTTGTATGTGGGTAGAATTACTAGAAACTACTTGTAGGCAGACTAGTAGGTATGATTTTTCTATAATTCTTCTTAGTATTTTTAGCTCATTTTTAAATTATTTTGGCTCATGTATATCATTAATATGACTTAGATATACAGTAGTTGACTTACAGTTAAACTATGAACAGAAGTAAGATTTCCTGATCCAGTCTTTACTACTAATGTTAGAACATAAATCTTTTTAATCTTGTTTAAGGAAATGTGTAAATATTTAGTTTGGTTTCTGTCATTTTAGATGACAATTGTTAAAACAAATCATGTTTCTTTTGTACTATGTTCATTTGTCATTATATCATAGCGTGTGTTGGAAGAATGAGAAGATTGAGTTTGTGAGTGTGATCATACTGGGTTATGTATGTTTATTGTGTTTGAGTGATCTTGTTTTAATTTTGAAGCTAACCTTGCGCGTTTTTTACAGCAGGGTACTTTGACATTGTCAGGGCGTTCTGAATGTCACTCAGAGATGAGCTTCATGGTGACACATTTTCAGTGTTGTTGTCACTATGATGGTTTTGTTTCCACGCTGTTGTCATGGTAATTGAAGTGTGCGAGGTGTGCTGTGTATGTGTGTATGTCTGCGTGTGTGTGTATGTATGGGCATCACTGTAACGGCTCTTAATTATCTTTTCCCCATGGCCATGGTCTCTTCATCATGGCTTTCACTTTCAGATGTTACCAAAACTTTTACATTACATTGATAAAATGATACAAAAATTATTAATTGTACAGATTGTGTATATAATAATTATGGAGACAATTCCTCTTACTCCTTTGTTTTTGTATGGAAATAATAACATTAATATCAATGAGAACTTGGCAGTTTTATTAGGACAAAATGCAGAATATGGTGTGTTGATCATGGCAGCACTAATAACAATCACTCAGATATAATGTAGGATGCTAAGCTCGTCGCTGTCTTTGAACATGATCAATAAACTGGAAAGTGTTGAACATGAATAAAAAACTACACTGGGGTGTGGTCTTTTTTGTCTGTCTGTCTTGTGCTTGGACTGTATATGTCAGCATACTTCATTTTACTTCTAATCTGTAGCACAGTACTGATACGTGTGTGCTACAGTGTGCTACACTTCTGTACTATGCTACCTACTCTGCTACATGATGTAATGTACACTCACCGAGAACTTTATTAGGAACACCTGTACACCTACTCATTCATGCAGTTATCTAATCAGCCAATCGTGTAGCAACATTGCAAAAAAATCATGCAGATATAGGCCAGCAGCTTCAGGCAATGTGTACATCAACCATCAGAATGGGGAAAAATTGGGGCTGGTTTGAGTATTTCTATAACTGCTGATCTCCTGGGATTTTGAAGCACAACAATCTCTAGAGTTTACACAGAATGGTGCACTGAAGAAAAAGCATGAAGTCAACGGCAGTTCTGCGGACAGAAACACCTTGTTGATGAGAGAGGTCAACGAAGAATGGCCAGACTGGTTTGAGCTGATAGAAAGGCTTTGGTAACTCAGATAACCACTATATAAAATAGTGGTGAGCAGAAAGCATCTCAGAATGCACATATCAAACCTTGAGGCAGATGGGCTACAACAGCAGACCACAACAGGTTTCACTTCTGAAACAGCCAAAAATAGAAAGCTGAGGCTGAAGTGGGCACTGGCTCACCAGAACTGAACAGACTGGACAAGACTGGGAAAATGTACCCTGGTCTGATGAATCTCGATTTGTGCTAAAGCACAACTGTACTACAGACTACATCACATATTGTACTACC